AAAGAACAAAAGAATCAAAAAAACGCGAAGAACCCAATCTCCTTTCTTATTCTTCCACGCATAGCCGGCGGGCATTCATTCAAAAAGTGAATTTTTTTCGTAGCTTTTTTTTCATTTGGACCAGGTAGAAAGGAAGCATAAAGGCAGATGTTGGATGAGGGTACATACGGGTGGTACGCATTTGTGCAGTTTGATCCTGATTTTTGATTCATTTATTATTTCAACAGGAAACATGTGGACGATTTACGAGTATCTAGCGGATAATTAAGGGGGTGCTTTCGGCTCGAAGGGTTAAAGCCGGAGCGCATATTGTTCTGTAAATAAATAAAAACAAGTGAGATTTGAATTAATTGAGTCAGATTTTTTCAAAGGGTCTGTTCCAAATATGTTCTGAACATTTAGGTTTTGTTTTTTAAGGTGTTTTTTATATATTTTAAATAGAAATTTAACGATATTTTACAATGCCTACTTTGCTAAATTAGTATTTTTTTTAGATGATTTTACAAAATTTTTAAAACTCAATAATTAGGTATACTTTTTCCTATAACGTATGCACTAAAAATAACAAAATACACACACATACAAGAGAACGAATGGTAATGATAAATCCCGAAATTGACCAGTCACGATACACTAGCAATAATCTGGTCTCGTTACATTTCGGATTAATTAATGCACTTCATCGAAACTTCATGCAGCGCTAAAGAAAACGGCAGCGCAGACAGTAATAATTGTCGGCAAAAATGAGCAGATAACCTTAGAGTCAAGCGTTTTATCGAGAAAAGAAGGCCAAGTCTAACAAAATGCAACTCAGTTCACACGGTATGTAGGTTAAGGCCTCGACCACTCGACTCGAGGTTTTTTGCATATAAACGAACGCCGGCTCGACGGAAACGGACCCACCGGGGCCCGCGAGCCGCGAAGAGAGACGGAGCGACGAAAGTAGTTCCGATTTAGATCGGATGTTGTGCTCGTTGGTAAATTTTTGCCTATTGCCTCAACGCTGATCTTTCGTCCCAATTTCGTGCGGTTTTTATTTACAACATCAATCGGGTTTTCGCATCGAGTAGGTCGCCGTTTTTAGTTTCGGCTACCGAGATAATTGCACCGGTTATTTCGCATTCGCAATTTTCGTACGCGGAATTTAACTCGGAAAATGTTACTTTATTTCCATGTGCTAAGTGATACAGACACTCGCTATTAGAATGGTTGCGAAAATACGATTAAACACCATTAAAAATGTGCTCTTGCAAAATGTAGTTATACACGTTAAAATACCTTGTAAGTTATTAAAAATTCTATCTTGCATAGCAATCGATTACATTAAACTTGCTCTCGCTAGAGGGATTATTAAAGATTATTGGAACATTTTTTGAAGAGGACTAATTCATAATTTATTTATTGAAAAAAAGATTTTCTCGCCAACCTTCACTAACTAGTTCCAGTTTTAACCAGTTAAATTTTCTATTTAATTACAACGACAAAAAAAACATAATTTTTCCTTATCTTAACGCACGACACACATTTTTGTGTATAGCATTTACAACACACATTAAATTTAATGGTCGCATCGATTACAGCATTGTACCGAATCGACACGTGTCCTATCTCGGATTTACGTTTTCCCTTAAAATCAACCCAAAACTCATTCTATTCCAAAATTCGAAATCCTACCTATATACGATTTTTTGCGTCCCTTCGTCCACCAGCTGGGCCATTTTACCTTGCACACCTACAATAGTCGCATTGTGGCCTTATCCTGACAATGCAGATGGTAGTACCGTAACCGCAGCGGACCAGCGATGTCGAACGCGTGAAGGCTGCGCCCTCGCGGCCCCATCAATCCGCCTGGTCCGCTCGGGGTGCTATCGAAAGAGGATGCCCGAGGATTTGGCGCATCTGCTAGAAAATTCGAACCCAAACAACCGAGACATCGGTGTGTGTTTGTGCAAGAGATGCACCTCAACCTGATGGTTGCGAAAAGTTTGTGTTTACAGCTGGGGGTGGAATCTACCGATCGTCGGTTAGGCGAACGATTCCATAAATTTCTATAATTTCTGAGAATGTAACAACACTTTAGGGTATTTAAATTGTTGATCGGTTCGATGGTTTTATGTAGCAGCCCGTAGGGTGTTCATTAATAATACCGATAGAAGTTTCAGGAGTGTCATTCCTTAAGGGTCATTTTATGATGAAAACTTCTTATACATACACCATTAAATATCCATCGACGGTAACAATATATCAAGGAAAACCATACATGTATTTATCATTGCCAATTAATTGGCTTTATTTAAATCTAATAGATATAGAGCAAATTGTGCAAATTAAATAGTTTCTATAGAAATAGCAGATTAAAAGAAAACATGTTCTTTCGTTAGTTAAACGCAATACTTGCCAAGTTTCATATAAATGTTCGTGGTTGCCAGGTTTAGTGAGTATTCAGTAGATTGGATGATTTTTACATTAATGTAAAATAATCGGAATAATATCTAATTCCGATCCAACGAGTGGAATTTTATACATTTCAAAAACTTGCAAAGTTGTGCAAATTATACAAAGCAAAGGTTATTGCCTGTTATTGAATTTTATACCATTATTTTCTGCGACAAAAAAGTGGCAGTACCTACATCATAATTTTTTATACGATTTTAACAATTTTTTGTGTAAAATTCCTGCAATGATATGCATGTAGTTTCGAGCTGGCAACCTCGTAGAAGACCCGTTAACAGTACCTGTCATCGCAATGCAAAACACCTATTACGAAACGGAAAAAATTGGGAAACAAAATTTCATACGATACGCCAACAAAAGGATGGCGACACTGCTGTTATTAACTTATTGCTCGGCTTCGTTGTAAAATTCAGCTCGAAACGTTGGCAGGCCGGCGATATAAAAGATTTTACAATAAACAGTAAAGTTCGCAATTTCGACTCGTAATTGGATCAAGGATCGGTATCTGGTAATAAATCATTATTGTAATCAATTATTGATATCGCCGAATGATTATATTGTTTAGTAATCATGATTCAATAATAATGAAATAAATGGAAATAATTTCATTATGGGCTTAATTTTCAATACAATTCATCATACACTTTAAATATTTACTAATTTTTGAAATACTAGTAAAAATTTATGTAATTATAAGTGCATACTTATTGTGTTTATTAAACGATCACTTAAATGTATATGTAAGGTACTTTTGCAAGACCGCTGCAGTGACATAAGCCAATTAAAGAGATAGTGCACCGATTACGAGTAAAGAAAATACGTCTATAGCGGGAGATTAGGATTATATTTTTCGTCTAATCGCACAGACTCGACGGCTGTTGCAAAGAACCAGAAAGAAAGTTCTTGCCATTGATGGCGTAAGCGAAAGAAATGTGAGAAATGTTCCTATAGACTGAAAGTAGAGAGTTCACTGACATCCTTGACTAATAGTGCAATACTCGCTACTATTTCGTCGTACCACTTATCTAAGTACCTTGCTTAAGTACCATCGGCAATTTCTACGAATAAATTATAAATTCATTAAACGCGGAAACTCTTGCTAATCGCGGAACCTCTTACATTTCGCCCGACAGAATATCTTCGAAACGGAACAATTCGACAGATAAAAATGAAACGCGTCGCGCCCGATCGTTTCGCAAAAGTTCCACGTTTGCTTCTCGTCAGGCTCTACTGTAATAAATAACAGTATTGATTTATAGGCAGCTAAAACGTTTCGCAAGCCCTTAAGTTGCCAACGAATTGTTTACTTGGAATAGTCCGGTACATCGAACGCCGCAATGAAATGTCTATGTCTCATTCGAAATACACGTTAATTTTATTTGGGATGCTGAAACGTGCGTTCCACGAGCTAATTTCGTACACTGTCGATGATGCAAATTTAATTTGCGAAACTCACTATAGTTCTAGGAAAATACATCAAAAACGTTTTACTAATACACTAGTTTACATGAAGTCAAAAGTACAGTAGATGTCTAATAATATCAAATCATCTTAATAGAAGAAATTTATTTGTTTTACCCACTTAATTTGTTTATTTATGATAAAATATTTTGATGAAAACACTTTGTACCTTTTCGTAATGCGGGTAAGTACGGCAATGTTCTTGTATTGGCAATTTCCATAAATTCGCTATGTAGTCGGGAATGATCGCTTCTAGTTCAATAAAATTGAGTGGCCATAAAGCATTGAATGTAACGAGGTGAGAAAAATTCGATTTTACGATTTTGACCCAGAAATTTCGATGTACGACATGACGTTTTACCGTTTTCGGAAAATGGGATTTCGGATTTTTTTCCTGATCGGATATTAAATCGGATAAGGTATTAAGGTTTCGTCATGATTTCGACACGCATTTATTTGCATTTAGATGTTTAATCGGTTTTTAACTATAACTATAAATATCTAATAGTTTATTGGTTAAATGGCGTATTTTTGTTGTTATTATTATTTGCAATTATTGAACTTTTTAGGAGACGATGTGACTCACTGAAACTTGTTTTTATTTTGCACAGTGTGTAGGTATCTCCTACGCAAAGGATCCTAATTCTAAAATTAAAAAAAAAACGGTCCGTGTTTGTCTCACCGTGCTCAATAAAAAATGTCGGGTCTCCCACGCAAACAAACGTGTTTTTTTTAGTAAGTCAACAGGACAAAAAAAGAGAGTGGATGTGCTTGATTAAAAAAAAAAGAATTCCGAATCTCTTATTAAATTATAAATCATTCGATTTGTTCGGTCGTTATTGAGCAGGTTTTTGGGCAATAAATAATTTGAGTTACTAATAGACCTATTGAAGAAAGTTTATTTTTGGGGTATTACGTACATAATTTTGTCTTCGTTTCTTTATCGAATCTATTTTGTATATAATAGCCCTAATCTGACAAGAATAATTTTAAATCCAATAATATTTTAATTCCTTCTACCAATTCGGACAATAAATCAATTTCTTGAATCATTTTATAACGAATTAAAACCTTAATTGATCAATCACAACTTCTATTGTACTTTAAACACTAATTGACCAACAATCAAGGTTTAACTGACTATCGAAAATGTTATTAAATGACCCGTAAGTCAATTAATTTCTAAATTGCACATAATAAGAACATATGTATTTTATGTATACCAAATTAGTACCAACTTTCTTCGTGAAGTGATATCGTGACGTTGGTTTGTAAAGAACTAAAATCGCAGCGAAACATCTCGTGCACCTGTAACAGAAATCGTGTCTGGTATTACAAACGCGAATCGTAATAGTAATAAATACCGAAATCAGATAAACAATAGATTAAAGCAATAACTTGCTTACATTTTGTAAAACATTCGAACTGAAATCAAGCGCCCTTTGAAAAAGATCCATCACCGTTCCGGAATGTCAGGAATCACCTGGTTAGTAAATAGGAGAGTACGAGAACAGGTAAACCAGAAAGTTATTAAAAACCGCGTTCGGTATGCACCTTCTCGTTCTCGTTAGGCAAATGGGGCAACACCCAGCGGATAATGTTTAATGGTCAACTGGAGTGAGGGCAGCACACCGGGCGTGGGCACCTAGTGGGCCCGTCATTATTGTTATTATTGCCGACTTTATGCATTTGTACCGTTCGTACTTTAACTTGGGCGTGTATATCACTTGCTCAACTGCAAATACCGCCGTCCTTACACCTCGATCCTTTTAAAAATGCTCCGCAGCAGCGGCGTTTCGATCAAATAAAACCGCCATTGCCGAGCCGTTGTAATAAAATTCGTATTGCAAAAGAGTTTTACAATGCTATTAAAACTGGACTTTTTAGCTTTCTATTGGTAAATAGTTTCCATTGTCCTGCAAAGCTGTTAAATTGATCTCGGGTGAAGCAACTGTAACATCATCTTGTTTGCGTAGAGGCCTATGAGTGTCTTAAATTGTCCAAATTTGTGGGTATTGAAAATGTGAAAAAATGGTGAAATTAATAGAATTCAACATAATTGTAGTATTGGTATTTTTTGTAACGACAATCCCTCAATCTTCTTCTAATATAATGTCTCACTCGCTGCACGAGTTCGAATTGATCTCCTTGCCTTATCGTTATCTCATTGAATATTCGAGTTTACTATACTATAGTGTTTGTATGCTTGAAGAGAAGTAGGTTTAATGAGTTTAAGACGAATATTACTTCTAAACTCCGGTAGGCACATTCCAACATTAAGAACAATAAACTCGAAACTCCCAAGTAATTTCACACGATTCCCGCCGCTCCGAAAATCGCCGGCTTAATTGCCGAGTTGACTCTAATCGGTCAATTAACTCCCGAGTTTCCATTTCTCCCGCAAACGATTTAATCAGCGCGCCTTCCGGATATCCCCATCGCCGCCGAGGCGATCCGTACGCATCAATTAGTCGAGCTTCAACCCGAAGACGTTCGATGGCATCCACTCAAGTCAACCTTGCCTATTAGGATTAGGTTGTTTGCAGCCTCCCACGCGGGCCGTTCGGTCTCCTCGGCGGCCGGCCGGGCTTTCCGCGAGCGAGCGCGAGCTGTCAAGTGTACCAAACGAATGCAATGAGACCACTTCCGCATATCTGCGGACGCCCGATGGCCCAACCGGCCTTTTTGTCTTGCTCGATAGTCCGGGTACTCGCGGACAATTTTATGGGGCTGTTGCGCAATTATTCTTACGATCAAATCGGTTGTCGTAGGGGTGATTTTCTTTTATGAAAGTTGTGTTGTTTTTTGGTAGTATTGTTGTAAGAGAGATTTGACCCCGGGACTGTAACTAATCTGCTAATAAGTTGGCTGTGGTTAAGAACGATAGTCGCGCGCAGGCCAGTTCATTGCACTATTTGCAGAATTAGAAACTGTGATTACGTCTTCAATCTGCTAGGCTAGACGGTAAATTTTTGCGTGGTTTTTTTGGTTTTCGTTTCGCGTCGGAATATTCACGAATGTTAGGATCGCCGCTATGTTTCCAAAGAATTATTAAAGTGCAATTACGCGCAATTTCACCACCTACTTGGGCGAAAATTAACATCCAACTGTTCACTAAACTACCGGAAAATAACTGTGTCTCATAGTAGGCTGGGCAAAAGGCGCCTACTCGATTACAATATCGATACTCCAGTTAGAAACAATTGACGACTTTCTATTGAATATAATTTGCATTCGCTCGCCCATTTTACCTACTCGAGTGCTAATCGGCCTGCATTTGCCCAAGTTTAGGCAACAATCGGTGAAACGACCACGCATAATGTACCTAACACTCGCATATCTTTCAGCAAAATGCGATTATTACATATTTGTTGATTATGTTATTCGGTGCAATTGGTTTTTGCATAATCGGTCTATGTAAGTGTGTACTTACATATTGCAATATATTGCTTATGTTTCATTATTGCATTCATACCTTCCGCTATGCATTGGGTATTCACATGGTTACGTTTAACGAAGTTTTGATTAAGTAATTCTAGTCTATTTAATTTCGATTAGGTACCGGTAAATAAATGTTAAGTATAAAATTACGAAAGCAAATAAAGTTTTTCTATATAAATTCAGCTACTATATAATATCGTATATATCCAGGCGAGCCTATTTTATCAGACCGTAACACATCCCAACTACTCAGACCGTCTTTTGTCCGCTTAATATTCGCTCCCCAGGCGCCGTTTAATGGTAATGGCGTCCCGAATGATATCCGAAAGTGGGAAGTAGGTCGTTTTCCAGCCTCCACCGGATGGAAAATACCAGACACTATCGGATTTTCCGAGTTCCGCTTGCATTTCCCGAACAGATATAACACAACAGACACACACGTGAACTATAACATATTCCCCAAGGATGTCTGTAATGTTCCCATTGGTGTACCATAAAGGATAATAGACTAAGCAAAATTTCCAGTAATTACCTACCTACTTTTTATTTTATTAAGTAGGTATTTCGAAAATTTTAGTATGCATTGTTGCTTTAAATGCTACGAAATTTAGGTTAGTTTTAGTGGGGTTTAGTCTATAAAATTTATCTTGGTATTTCCACGCTACTGTTCGTAATAACGATACAATGTTGGGATAACGGCCAAAACCGTATTCTAAGGTTGCTTTAGATTTTACTGTAATGGGAATGGAAAATCGCTGTTAACCATATATTCCTATGACGATGGTTTAGAGCTCCAAATTCATGTAAAGGGAATTAAAATAAATTGTGCGAAACGTTCAGACGAGATAGAAGCAAAGCAAACATTAATTTAGTGTCTCTATATTCTGCAGGAAAGTCTGCAGTAAAATAAATAAATGCACTTGTTATATTCCTTCCAAAATCAATTTAAATTTTTGTCGGGTTACTAAAGAACTCAATGATAAAGACTTCACTTCTTTATACCGTAAAATCTTTATTTCTGTGCCATTTTGTGGAGAATACTTTTATCCCAAACTATACCATCGAATAATGTACGTTTTAAATTGACTTTTAGAAGAGCATGCTTGACTTAAAAAGTCCATATAGATAATATAGGAGAAGGAATAATAAAAATTTAATTCGAAGAATACCCCGGTTCCTCCCATAATCCGAATTATGTCGGTTTTATGAATCGCTCGAATGATAATAGAATGAAATTTAAGATTTATGCGACTCCGTTCAATTTAGATTTATTGGCGAATTTTATATCTTCTAGAGCATCGCAAATTGCAGCTGTATTTTACGACAGATTGAACGAGGCGTAATATTAAACGGGCTATTAAAGTTAAATAAAATCGAATGTTAAGATATTTTGTAGGTGCATTCGATGAATGAATATTTGTTACATTTTAATGCTACTATAAAACACACAAAATTCATAACTTCTATAATTTGTATTAATTATTTATACATATTCCAAAACTAGATACTAATCCGGATTAAATTATATGCATTGGGTTAGATTAGTTTATTGAACCTAGCGAAAAACGATACGATTTTTAATGCAGACCCATTATAATCCGAGTACTAACTGTATAACATCCTACTAGAGCGCATAAAAAGCAGGAGATATTATATTAAAACGGTACACCGAAATTCGCAAGGCGCTGATGATATTGAATAATTATTTTCCAAGTAGATACCATCTGCGAAATCCGACCATCATGAGGTCAATTACATTCAACCAGACAAAACTGTAAACACACCAAATCCCATCGGGCCGAATTTCTATCGAGATGTTCGCGGAGATCGGGCGTCGTACTCGAAAATGAAATAATTATTGCGAATGGGCTTCGTTTCAAAATTGACGAGGGGGTTTTGTAATATCTGGTGATGTAAAAGGCCGCTTTTATAACGCACCTGTCCGATGGCGAAGGAATCGATTCCGAAGCGATGCTGGGCACACACGGTGTGGGCGGCGAAATTGATACATATCGCGTTGCTTCATCGCGAATTACTGCGTTTTGTTGAAATTGCCGTTCGCTAAATTCGCGTTTATCCAGCGAAGTTAATTAGTGTGATGAAGGCGTTTGCTGCTAGGATAAGTTGCCATTATGCATAGGCGTGTTGACGACAATAATTATAGGAGAATGCGAATGAATATGTAACTTAATAAGCGTTATGTACCAAGGAGATAGATACGGGTGAAGGATTGTGCGAAATTTCCTGAAATTTAGCTTATCACTCGACGCTAGTAATTATACTTTAACTTAGAAAAATCGATAATTAATTATTTTAACAAACGATAACAATTCAAGGAATTGAATAATGGATTAAAGAGGTACCTGGAAAATATTAATTGGATTTGTCTAATGAAGTGCATAGGTACTTGTAAATTAAAATAATGGGAAAACCCACTTCATTCAATAGTTCTTCGCATATGTTTTGTGAAATTTTCATTACCGAGAAAAATCGTGTTAAGAGCGCCTGTTTGAAAATTTCGCAACCTGCCACAATTCTAGCGATCGTATAATTTTTTTAATACCAAAGTAAATAGATTATATTAATATTACGCGTTAGAAGATAAATATTTCCCTATCTGCGTCGTTTTTATCTCATTCACACAGGTGATCAAGTGTTTCGTAAGCGAATGAAATTGCTGAAAATTACACAAAGAAATTGTACTTGTGCAACATTCGAAAATATTTGCTTTGGTTATCTTTCCACAAAAATTTTGCAAACTTTTCTAGATAGACCTGTACACGTGAAATTTTTTATGGATCTAGTGCAGATAATTCTGTTTACTCGAATAATTGTGTTTGATATTAGTACATTGATTTTAAAATTATACAGCCACTTTATAAAAAAACTCATCTAAGCAATTAATTACTGTAGGTACATAATGTAAATTACATCAGTAGCTCAGGCGAGATTTCCCAATTTAGTGCTTTAATCGTAGGCGTCTTTGCCGGCCAGCAATCGAGGAGGCTCGAATTGGATCTGACAATGTAGCAATACCGAGAGATGGTAATGACTGGTTGATTTTGCAACGAAACGATTGCGAAGAAATGCATAATAAACTTTCGTTATAACGATCAGGGAGCCATACTGCTTTCTCCGGCCGAACCGCATTTAGGTCGTTGAACGAAACGCTCGAAGTCAAAAGCCCCGGAAAAGTGCGATCCGCCATCGCCAGTGGCATGCGATCCAAACCGAATTATTAATCATCTCATTTTGTCTAAATTATAAAACGTACCCAAAGTTTATGCACAACAAAGTTTGATGCACTTTGATGTCAAGTTTGTGTTAAAAACACTTACTTTTTACTATAAAATTGTATTGAAATTGATTCGTGATCGATTGGACTAACGATTAATAAGTTATTAGTCAAAACTTTGTATTGGTAATACTGATTTATCGAATACATCGTGTAAAATTTACGTGGCCACCAAAAACCCACAAAATATCCAAAAACCTTTCAATTTAAATTTTTATGCAAATCTATTAGCAATAAGGAAGAATATCGATAAATCAATCGACACATCCAAAAAAAAACCACTGAATTTTGATCGATGGATTGCTCAGGGGATCTTTTATACCCGCCTCTGCTTTCACCTAGTTGTGCAATTTTGATAGATTCTTGAACTTTAGGTGTAATGCTTGAGTTCCCGTACGGAATTATTGTCATCTCTTACATAAAATAACGGAAGGAGTTTTCCTATACACTTTGATCGAGAGATATAATGAATTTCTAACGTCGGTTATGGCAGAGGTATTTACCGTGCGAAAAATTTCGTTATGATAAAAAAAAAGAAAGGAAAGCATTGAGGTAGGTCGACGTTGGCATGAAAACGGAGAAAGTTCTAATGCGTTAAGTAACTGTAAAAATACCTTTTTAATTTATTTGCTTTCTTAATGAATTTTTTTTGATTGATTGTCACGTTTCATGAAATTTACTTTTTAAAAATTCCCGATGTAAAATTCAAATTAACATTCCAACGACATTTTAGTTATTTAAACAGTTTACATTGCTAACTGCAAACAATTATGGAAATGTCACAAGTTCAATGAAGTATTTCTGTACTTAAAATCACGTTTATCACTGCGTGAAGCATGCTTTAAACGACAATACCCCGTGCGTTTGTCGGAAGTGTTTTAATTCATTTGCGATGCAAAAATAACCAAACTATTCCGAAAACACGGCATAAACGTGGTCGTGCTGTATTTATAAATTTCACCCACGACTTCATTTCACTCGTGTAAATTATTTCTAATTTAAATTAATTAACGAGCGATTTGAACCTGCTGTAAATACTTCGTATTCATTAAACTTCGGAATAGCATCTGTGGAAGTTGATGGTAATTTTGCTGGTTTTAATACAAAACTCGGAAATGTAGAATAACTTATATTAAAGTTCATTTTTGGCAATTGTGTTTGCGTTATTAATATTTTGGTCAATGTAATAATAAAAAAAAGATGAAACAGAAAGATAATTTTAAACACGTATTAGGTCGTCATAAAATTTTACTTTAAGACCTTTTTTGGGTTCATTTACAAATAGTTAATTTAAAATGCGAAAATTGAAGTGAAAAATCTGCGTTACCAAAATTTTAACATTGAATGCAACTATCTTTTTGTAAATAAGTTTATCTGGTTTACATTACCATAAAATCAGATAGTTATAAACTTAAAACTCCAAGCAATCTTCAATTCGAACCAATATAAACTTTTGGATAGCCCGAAGTTTTAACGCGGGTTTTCTCTATTAAAACCCTTACGGCGTTATCTCGTAATTGCATTATTTATAAAGGTAGCCTAGCTGTAAAACAGAAACTTTTTGCGCCGGACGAACAATAAAAACGGCTTTTTATTGCCCCCTTTTTAAATTTTGCTACACATATTATATAGGTTGCGCGGCTGTTGGGCAATAAAATATCTAAACAATAAACTGTACGTTTTATATTTACGAGACGTAAGTTTATCCGAACGCGAAATGAAACCCTATTTAAATCCGGCGGAGTGCTGCATTCGACAGCGGCACCGATAGAATACGAATTTTGCACAAAACGTAACATCGGGCTCGTACAATACTCTTTGTTTGGCATATAAATTTGCCAAATTCGTAGGAGCATTCGCGGTAATTGACCCCGGCAACGGTATACACAATACATCATGAATTTGTGGTTCAATCGAGGTTGGAAACATGATAGAACATGACGACAAACATGTTTATCGGCGATACGTGGTCGAGCTGATATTTATTATTTTTATTTTTATTTCCATTCGAAAACAGTCCGCAAATTAAACTATTTTAGGGTCAATAAAGGGACGAACTGGTAAAAGGTTGTTGTTATCTATTTTTATGAGCTCATCTACAATTTTATACATTTGGGAGTACTACATAGGAATTAAACGAGTAATAGTTCAACAGATCACTTCATATTCGGCATTCAGTCAGGTATTGGGAATCTGATGATTAAATGGTTACTCTTCCATAAAGAATTGGTTACATATTATCAAATTGTGTTAGTCACGGTGACATGTAGAATAAATGTGGTTTTTCGATTAAATCCATTAGACGTTTCTCACAAAAGTTCATTTGAGTTAAAATCATTTGCGAAATTTATTGCCCAAACTGTAAACTATTGCGCTGTGTTACGTTACCTACGGTATAAATGTTAACAAATTGAAGTCTAAACGAGTCAATTTTGTAATCTGTATGTTTTCTTGTTTGGCAACATATTTACAATGTTGGCACACGTTATTAACTAATATTAATTAGTTATTATAGGGATTTGGAATTAAAATCGACAGTGGCGTAGTATATACTATATAAAAATGAACTCGATCACTCGGTTTTAATCATTAATATCTATCATCAATCTTTATCGGGTATTTTTGTAGGTTTTTTTCCATTAGACATTTTACGCAATTTAAGGTCTATTAAAATTTGGCAATTCAATAACCCTACGACATTCAATCGACATTGCCTTGCGAAATGTTTATTAGCTTACATTCATGAGCCCAGTGATAGCATCCTTTTAAAACAGAATCTAATTAACCAAAAAAACGCACACAGCTGATGAAATTCAGGCATTTTACACGCGAAAACGAGCCATTAGGCAAATCATTCAAAAATATTACCGAATAAGCATGACGAAGATAACTAAATTTGCGAATTTTATTGCGGGAAAGTCGTTAATTTATTTTGTTTGTTCTTTGCAGAACGGAGCTCAAATTAGAATCGTTAGAAGATGCAGTAGTCCTGGAAGAGCCGGATATCGATTGGCTTCACGATAAACGAGGATGTCCCGCTTACGTTAGTCCTGAAATTTTGAAAGCAGGCGCCCACTATTCCGGTAAAGCCGCGGATATGTGGAGTTTAGGAGTAATTCTCTACACGATGCTAGTCGGCAGGTGCGTACCATTTTTAATATTCCACCTATGTACATCTCCTTCGCAGGATACGACACTCAAATTTTATCGCATGTATTTTCCGTTCTCATACGATACAGATCGAAAAAAATCGCTAAAAAAATAAATTAAATCCCAAGCGTAGTATTTGCTCGTCGCCTTATCTCAATTATCTAATAGATTTATAAGCTTACAAGATATTTAATTTGTATCTTGTACGCTACACTCGTAGATAAATCTAAAACATGCGACAATCGTACCAGTAAAAATTGTTGTTTACATTTGTCGAAATGCCATTTACGAAATTCATTTGGCGCTGCGGAATGCTTCAATAACTCAATCACTGCATTAGAATTTCTATTCTTCACGAAAACTCGCTAGTTCGTGAGAACACAAACGGTAAAAAATTCGTACGAAGGTGATGAAGAAATGCGTGACGAATTTATTAAATCATCCGATCGAATAATTTCACCTGCGCTTGTTTGCGACGAGCTGCATTAGGTCATTGTTTAATTAGTTATTTTTTCGATCGAATTAGTACAGCGGAGAAAATGTTTTCTGTTTTAGTAAAAATCTCGTTACTAATGTAGTGATTAAACGCAAAAATCCGAAACGAACGAAAAAAATAGAGTGATATCGGTCGATGTGAATAAGTCCGCGGTTATTTCTCGTTCGGAAGTCGTTGAAAAATATTTATCCCCGATTTTTCGAGCTCGATGAGCCGTCGTGGATTCGTTTCTTGGGCGAGTTTGGCGAAAAAGTTTAAAAGCAAGGCGATTTTCCCGCCATATGGCTACCGATTAGGCCGGAGATACAATCAACCCTGTGTTTAAAAGGAATTATTTCACCGAGCAACTGTTATTGTGGCCATAGCCGTAACGGATGGGATTTTTCATGCTCGAAAAGGCGCTTTAAATCATTAGATATTCAAAAGATAGTAGGTAAAAGTGCTGTATGATTCATAAAAAATCAAAATTATGGAAATGATTTTATTAAATTATTTTTGCTAATTAATACAACTCAATTATCAATTTAATCACAACATTTTTCAATGTAGATACTTTTTAAAATTCTCTTCATTCAGAAAATTCTTCTATTCTCCATAAATTAGAAACATTTAAATAAAAACCACCCTCTTATCTCCAATAGGAAGGAAAATTACAAATTCTTATACCTGAAGATTTTAAAAACACAACTTAAAAAAATATTTTACATAAAAGAAAAAGTTTAAAAATTGCATGTCTAATTTTAATTTAAAGGAAACTATTATATCACTAATAAATGCCTTATTTCATTAGAGAAAATTACTCTATTAATTATTAATTACTGTCTCTAAAAAAATCTCATAGTTTTTGGCTACTTTTCAAAATAAATAATGAAATACTTGTCGAAAATAAGTGAGATGCGCCAATGCGATTGCATTCGAACATCGGAGGAAATAATAACAAGGAATTAAAAAGAAAGGAGTACACCTGTGCCGGGTATCGGGGGTTTTAAACTAATTTTCAACGACATATGGCTCATCCGTTACGCATCAAAGCTTGGGAAATAAAAAGACGTGGAGGTTTCGTCCGGAATAATGAACGATAACGGTCGTTTTCCCGTAAATTCGTCTTAACCAACCGGAAGCGAGAATTCGCGTATTTTTTTTATTATCAAGTCGAAAACGAGGGGTTAAAACCATTAGTCGGGTTTACATTTTTTCGAGTTAATTTATCGCTTTGCGTTTATTAACATGCACAAGTCGTGTATCAGGAAATGAATTTCCAAAATGAAAAATGTCCGAAATATAACTCACCGATATCTACATTATAACGTTTATTCAAGATAACGCCTTATTTCGAGTAGGTACAATAAAACTTGTTCTGCCAAACCCGAACGAGTTGTAACTTGATTTTGATTATAGCTTATTTTCTGGTTTGTCCAAAATTCTCGTTCGCTCGAATCATATGGTTTCCATGATTCATCTAACCATATATCTACACCGAGTTCAAGGTCCAATTAAACCATCCACATTGCCCATCAGACCGTGACTAAGTATGGTAAAAATCGCGTTCCGTAATGTACGTACTTTTAAAGATGAATCCATCCATGAAGCAGACCTACTAACCATGGTTTCTACAGTTCATACGCCAGTATGTAGGCATATTTTAATTATTAACTATCAAAGTTGGTGGATTTTTGCAATTCACCGAGATTTACTTGAATGACTCACACAAAAAAACACTGTGTGCTGTATCATTGGGATTAATGATCTAGTATAAAATAATGTTTCAAAATAATTACTAATTTCAATTAACTGATGACATTATCAAGTTTGCTTAATTGATTGATCCCAGTTGAAACAAAATTGACTACTTTTTTCTCAAAATACTTTATAATAGCTTTAGTTTGTCTAGTAAAAATCGAACTTGATTTTTTTTTAATACTTTGAGCTACAAGTTATCTGATTCTCACATTAATCTCAATTTATCTATTCACGTTTTTTACACTAATTTTTAACGAAACATCAATTAGAGTTTATTAGAGCTTAATAATAGTTCTATTGTTAAATTTATTTTCATTTATTGGTTGATTTTTGCCCGTTCATTGCATAAATTCAATTATACCCTATTGTTACATGATTTTCATTAACTTTAATTATACCATAGTGGGCATATACATTTAATATCGATGTATTGAATCAAAAATTACCCACCAATTTATTCCGTCTGATTGATCGTAATTAAGCACAATTAAAGAATAATAATTTAATGATACAATAATTCAATCAACTCGACTATTCGTTAGTAGTTATTCTTCCAAAAATTCCCCATTTCTCTTTGATTTTAATTCGCCTCTACCGGCGCACGATGTATTATTCATTTCTGGGTTACTCTAAACGATACGCAAGAGCGATTTCGTTGTCACGTACTTTTTATCAACTCGAAGCTCGTATTAATTCCTTCGTATGAATGAGGAAATCCTGTCCTTAATACTTGCAGACTTTATTTAAATTTATCAAGTATAGGTTGAAACTATTTGGTAGATACCCGAAAATTTCATTAAAATTTGCATAACATGTCTACGTTGCTAAATTCGTAAAGATTTACGTAGACACTTACGTAGAAATAGCGTTACGTTAATTTGACTTACGTCAAATAATGTTAATTGTAAGTTTGGGCATTGAAATTGAATTTTGCATCCCAAGTGAATTGGTAATAATGATATTTGACTTGTAGATAGGTACTAAATTTTAAGCAACGTTATTTTAACGTAAGTTTGCAAATGTTAGGAAAAATCTTTTATATTTTATTCGGTATGAATACCTACTTTGAAATCGGCTTAGAACATTTTTGTGAACTCTGTAACCGCACGTTGGTGCGCGTATCTGATGGAAGGATATACCTGGAGCATCGCGAAGGGTTTTTTACGAGCAGGTGCGGATTTTTAGGGGGTTACGTAGCTCTTACGATCATTTGGATTTCTCGAAGAGGGCATTAATTAGGACAGGTGCTTTGCGTGCTTCACGATTTTTTTTACGTTCGCCCGATGCCGGAGGCTTTGCGGCGACCCGTACGCGCTCGGAAATTGGGATTTTTACTGCCTGTGATGCAAACGTTTTTTGTTTCGAATTAATGACTTCGAAAACAGTTATTGTTTATTTATTTATTTCGCTAAACTTACGTTTGTAGTCGAAAGTTTGCGCCAATTACGATTGCTTAAAAAATATTGATATTCAAAGGTAATAAATATTCAGTACAAAATCCGCCGAAATAAAACATATGTCTCTCGCAATCCGATTAGTATTCGACAGGAAATGGAATTTCCATTGTAGATATTCGAATAGGAAAAGAATTCGTTTAGGGATGAAAAAATTGTTGGTCCTCGCCGAGCAGGTATTTGTGGTTATTCGATACAAAAAAAAAGCTACGAATTCTTTTTAATGAATTAGTTAAGCGTTAGATCGAAATCTTTATTGATTGGACACAATTCACTAAAAAATAGGATCGGGTGCCTGTCTTGAATTTCAATGAATCAGTGCACAAGAATTATACATAAATAATTTTCTTGAATTAAACACCCGATACCTCACCGCTGATTTATGGAAGCAAGAAAAAGGATTTCCATGCGCTTGAATAATTCTACGAAATTCTTAGAATTACAATTTCAGACACATATGACGCCATTAGTACTTGTCTAATTTAAATGTACGTACACCGGTATTCTCAATCATTAGGGTTAAGTACAGCCCCTTATCTTCAAGCGCCGGAAACGAATAGATACGCTGTAATAAATAAGCGTAGGTGGAGAGATAACAACGAAACAACAACCAAAAAAATAGCGCTGATAAACAAAATACGCAGTATCATTTCTATACGTCAATCGCGCTATAATCAGATGGAACTTTTGAGGACTCCTGAGCGCCTATCGAAATTCCGTTCCCTTATCGGACAGCGCGTAGCACCCCTTTCGGGGCCGAGATGATGATCGTTTTATTTATGCGACGCGGAATGCCGCACCTGCCGCCCCACATCACTTGCCAGTAGCCGGAGATTCGTCCATGGGGGCTCCGAAAAAGGAACAAAAAACATCGACCGACGCGGGGCAGGTGTAGCGCGACCGGCCTTTGACGAGCGCTTCTCTCCATCGCGCAATCTTTTCTTTGTCTCTGGCGATGTCCGCGTTTTTGCGACAAAAGTTGCCTTGCGTAATTAATCACTTTCACTTTAAGATCGTTGTTTGTTTTGCTAAAGCAAGTGCCTAAAGCGAGCGCTTAAAATCTGCTAGGGACTTCATGCAATAGATAAATAAATAAAATGCAATTAATATTAATATCGAATTTGTTATTTTGCAGATATCCCTTCAACGATTCGGAGCACGCGTCGTTGTTCGCGAAAATCACGCGGGGGCACTTCGTCATTCCCGAATGCCTGACGGCGAGAGCGCGATGCCTGATCAGGTCGTTGCTGAGACGGGAGCCCTCGGAGCGCATCACCTCCGAGGACATCCTGTACCATCCGTGGTTAGCCAAGGAGGAGAGGGACTGGACCTCGAAAGCCTGTGATCAACTCGTGCCGGAATGTTCCCTTTTTGACGATTAGTTCCTCATCTTCTTCGCCGCGCGCGAAGGAGAACATCGTGCAAAGTGCAAATCCTGTGCTGTGTTTTTAGGATAAGTGTGAAAATATGGTTGGTTAGAGTAGAGAGCTCAAACGGGAATTACGAGAGTATTAGAAAAATTTTTATTCGATGGCAGCTGTTTGTTAGCGAACTAGATAGATGGAAATGTTTTCGGCTTGAGGTTTAAATGTGAAAATTGCATCAATTGAATGTTTAATGAATAACGAAGTATCGGAATCTCTTCTAATTTCATCGACCGTACGGTTATTTTATTTTGTCGGGTTTGTTTTAAGATGAATTCAGAATCATTAAGAAACTTTGCTAATAAAGTTTCAGAACGGTGCTGTACTTGTGTTGGAACAAATCTGTAATCTTTTACTTACCAACTATATTTAAAAAAAGCCATTCATTAGCTTTAAGATCTTGAGAGTTGTGGTATTGTTTACTTTTATTTCCTTTTTTGTTGAAAATTGTTATGGAAAAAAAATTTTCTGGTATGTTTTAATATTTATTTTGTTATGTACTAAGCGTTAATTTTTAATCAAATACCTGAAAATTTTTTTGATTCAGATTTATGTGAAAGTAGGGTCTCTATTTGTTTAAATGAAATCCCAAAAGCCGAATGTTAATTAAGAGAAAAGATTATATAGATCAGTCAGAGGAGCTGATTTTTTTATTTATTTCATTGTTTTAGCATCACGCGAATGTTTTTAATTGATTCAAGACTGAATAAGTATTTCAAACAGATATAAATTTACCATCTATATGAGGAAAATATTCGTTTTTGAAAAAGTTTACCAAAATTTTATGGAATCTCTAAATTGTCACCAAAGTTTTAAAGAACGCTAAACTTACAAACTTATTTTTAAATTAACACTAAAATAATGTTCGTGATGCATATTAGTATTGTGATCTCGGTCGATGTCCCTTCGACCATACTATGTATATTTTTTTGAACTGATCCTGTACATAAAATTCGTTGTATATTTCGTTTTTAACTTATGCATAATTTTAGTTAATATATATCGTTTGTAAAAATCATTGTAAATAGCTTCGCATATTATGAGGAAATATCATCGGTGGTATATTATGCAGTTGTTCATAATAATAAAAAAAAACGTTTTTTACTACTTTGATTTTTATTTATTTATGATTTACTATGGACATTCGAATTTTAATGATAAAAAAATACCTCTACAATTTTCTTGCGTGGTTTTAAACATAACAAGTGAGCCAAAATTTGAATTAATTACAAAATTTTTAAATTACGCGCTCGTGTCAATGTGGCTAAATAACTGAGCTGTGAAAGGACAATAAAAAGTAGAAACAGTAATTAAAATAAAAAAGAGTAAATGTCTTTTTCAACTCTTATTCATTAACAAAATTAGTACAAATATATAAAAGAGTACACAGAAATGAATAAAATGAAACAAAAATGAAATTAAATAATATTTGAAAAAAGAAGATTAATTTTTTACAAATTGTCCCTCACTTGTCATTCTTGTCAATGCCATTGTCTCTCCTCACTCCTGTCTCTTGTCATTTCTTCTTGTCACTCCTGTCAGCTGGTCAAATAAATTCATTTGGAAAAATAAAAATATAACAACTTTACGATGGCTTCGGCTTTGGGGCGCATTACAAATTTATCCAAAACCCAAGTTGGTACGTTCAAAGGAATTTCACAATAGTTCACAATGCATGATAACCTCACTTTTTACCTTTATTATATAATTCATATTGTACTCCGCAGGGCAATTTATCCCAGTTTTATGCAACACTCAAATAGCCTTCTACTCGGCACCGCCGCCGGGCACGCCGCCCCCGCAAACCAAGACCACCTTCGGCCCCTTAGCCGACCAGGACAGAGTTTTTACTAATCTATATGGTCGACACGATTGGAGGCTCAAGGGAGCCCTCAAAAGGGGTGACTGGTACAAAACCAAGGAAATCCTCCTCAAAGGCGCCGACTGGATAATAAGTAACTACACACTACACAAGTATTTTATTTATAGATTAATTTTTTGACGCCTTGTTTAGATGAAGTTAAAGTATCGGGATTGAGGGGACGCGGAGGTGCAGGATTCCCTTCAGGCATGAAATGGTCCTTCATGAATAAACCCGGAGACGGAAGGCCGAAGTATTTAGTCGTAAATGCCGACGAGGGAGAACCTGGCACATGTAAAGATAGGGAAATTATGAGACACGACCCGCACAAACTCGTTGAGGGATGTCTCATCGCTGGCAAAGCAATGGGAGCAAAAGCCGCTTACATCTACATTAGAGGAGAATTCTACAACGAGGCATCTAATATGCAAGTTGCTATTGCAGAGGTAACACGATAGCCAATTCCTTTTTTTATCTAAAAATTCATTTAATTTGTTATAGGCTTACCAAGCGGGTTTCTTAGGTAAGAACGCTTGTGGATCAGGCTACGATTTCGATGTATTCATGCACAGAGGCGCGGGAGCCTACATTTGCGGAGAAGAAACCGCCTTAATCGAATCGCTGGAGGGCAAGCAAGGCAAACCCAGACTAAAGCCCCCATTTCCCGCCGACGTGGGTTTATTCGGATGTCCCACCACTGTTACTAACGTCGAAACAGTAGCTGTATCACCAGTGAGTACTATATTCTACTGGTTAATGTAAACTTTGATTCAAAGCACGGTCCTATATTTCTAAGGTATGGAAACATATGTCGAAAAAGTGTCCCGTTGTTTGAGGATAAAACAGGGTTCCTAAAACGGTCGCTATGAGGCGATGTTGTAAAGGACCACGGTTTTTTGCGTACGAATTATATAGAATTAGCATTAAGAAAGGTTATATTCAAACTAAAAATAGATAAAAAATATAAAAATATACTTAAATCAGCGATGATTTTGTTGTTAACATCATGCCTCACGTATCGTCGATTAATGTATTTCTCCATTTTCTCCTTGAAATGTCAAATAATAATTTTTGAAGTTTTGACAGCTTGAACTGTCGTTTCACACAACCGCGATTTATATGTAGCGCGACAAATAACGGGACATTCTCTAATGCATAAGCATAGGAAGTTTCCAGACCTTAGAAATATAGGGCCGTGATTCAAAGCATTGTACGATACTGATATTTTGAGTGAATAATTTCTGTGTTTTATGCAATGTTTGTTAATTTTTCAGGCGATTTGCCGTCGCGGTGGTACCTGGTTCGCCTCGTTTGGCAGAACACGTAACAGCGGAACCAAGTTATTTAACATTTCCGGCCACGTCAATAGACCTTGTACGGTGGAAGAGGAAATGAGCATACCCTTAAAGGAACTGATAGAAAGACACGCTGGTGGTGTTACCGGTGGTTGGGATAATCTATTGGCCATTATTCCTGGTGGTTCTTCCACTCCTTTGATTCCAAAAAAGTAATACATCGTCCTGTTTCGTGTATTCAGGTTGTAATGTTACTTTTTTTAATTTGCAGAGCCTGCGAAGAGGCTATAATGGATTTCGATGGTTTGGTAGCCGTCCAAACCAGCTTGGGAACAGCCGCTATTATTGTAATGGACAGAAGCACAGATATTGTAAAAGCCATTGCTAGATTAATAATGTTCTACAAGCATGAGTCTTGTGGACAATGCACGCCATGTAGAGAAGGTACGTTTAGAAAGATTTATTCTGTGGATAGATATAACTTGATGTGTCTATTTTTTTACAAAATTGAGTTATCAATGCCACTAGGTTCGTCTTGTTGAGATCTACAAGATGGTAGGTACAACAGTATAGTAATATTAAAGCATTAAACAACTGTTTACTGAAGAAAGTTGGTCCAATTTCAGTATTTTACCAGTAATTCAAACTCCATCAAGTTATGGCATCTATTTTACTACTGCAAATGGATTATCTGGTAGCTGTGGTTTCTAATGTACATTGAAAATAATGTTAATGTGGTTTTTTAGGAGTAAATTGGATGAACAAAATGATGTACCGTTTCGTCGATGGCAATGCCAAGCCCGAGGAAATCGACATGCTGTGGGAGATCAGTAAGCAAATAGAAGGTCATTCGATTTGCGCTCTAGGTGATGGTGCAGCGTGGCCCGTTCAAGGCCTGATTAGGCATTTTAGACCGGAATTGGAAGGAAGGATGAAGAAATTCCAACAAGCCCAGAATTAAAGTAGGGTTACCTATATGTTTTATATTTAAGTAAACGAAAAGGAAATCAATAAATGAAATTGTAATGCTTGTGAATATGATGTGTAAAATAGTTTAATAAAATATAAAATTTAGTTGGTTTTCTGTAAACTGGCGCTAAAGCACGGGTAAAGTTATATAATTGCAAAATTAGTGAAATAAGGGTTTAGGCATGTTAATGAAATTAATTGAACACTACAAATTTTCAATTCTACACTATTGTAATATTATTATGTTTACTGAATAAAAGTAATATTTAAATGAAATAAATTTACTGCACTTAATTTCGCTACAATTGTTTAAAAACTATTCAATTTTAAATGGCAATTTTGAAGGATACCTAAAAAGCTCCTAAACGTTACCAACAATTTTTTGTAGAAAATAAAAAATATACACATAATGAACTTAATTGAATTAAATAAAAATGTACCTATGTATTTACAAGTCTTCACGTTGCCACGTCATATGCTAAAATACTCCCGGTAAGGCAGGCTTTGTACTAGGGTCTTTTCTAAAAATATAAACACAACGTAAATTTGCTTTCGTAACGACAAAATAATATTTGTATTGCTAATGAATGTAAATTTGATAAAAATACCCGTCAGTTCGTATTCTACTGATATTCTACTGATAATCAGAAATAAAACTTTCAACTTATAAAAATACTTACATTTTAATCCAAAATTAGCAAGAAATATAAAATTAAATCAATGTTACAAATTCGTTAGAAATTCAGTGAGAAACACCTACGTCGGAACGTCTTCGTTGCCCCCATCGAACTCCAGTTTGACGTCCTCGTGGAGCCCCTCGACGTCCACCTCGGACTCCGCGGCGTTCAACATATTAAGGGTCACCTCGTTTTTAATCATCGGCGTCTGCAAGTTCTGCTGGAGCGTCGAGACGGGCGTCGTTTGATTCACCGACCTCACCGGCAGGCCGGCGTCTTCGAACGCCTTCTTCTTCAACGCCGTCCTAATTTGTGATCTAACGTTAATAAAAAAAAGTCGCGTTAGGACGAATTGTACTTCTGAAGAAATTGCGACGAGCAAACTTACACCGTTCGCCTTTTAATGTGATCGCTAATTTGGTTCAATCCGTCCGAAAATTGCTTAACTACTTGTCTCAACATCTCAATTTCTTCGTCGGTCCACTTTCTAGACAAATTTGAAGAGCTTTCAATAGTTTGGGTATTAATACTGAAGATATGTATATACAGATATTTCTACATCACTATCTAGTTAGCGGTTTATAAATGTTTACAATTCAAAATTACATATTGAGAAGATTAGGTGAAAAATATTTTTGTTGCTTCTGATTATATCTTACATCCATATCCTTATTTGCATTAAGTCGTCATTTCGGATCGTTCTAAATGGTTCTAGACAATTCTAAATGGTTTTTGAGCATCCCAAATGGTTCTGACAAGCTTTCTAAATGTTTCTGCAGTTCTAAATGATTTAGCAGCGTTCTAAATGATTTTAGACTGTTCTAAATGGTTCTAGACAATTCTAAATGGTTCTGGAGCGTTCTCATTGGTTCTGAATGTTCAAAATGATTTTGGATCATTCTAAATAGTTCTAGGCAGTTCTAAATGATTGTCGATCGTTCTAAATTGTTGGATGTGAAAGTGACCCAAAATCATATTAAAAAAACAACAATTTATTGCATAGCATTTATAATTTGTAGTTTCTTTTCATGAATCATTTACTGTTGATGAACTGGATATATTTTTGTTAAGTACCTCTTTGATAACTAAAATTATATCAAAATCAAACATATTTGAGAACATTTAACAACATAAAAATAAGCAGCAAAACTTTGTAACAAACTTATATTAAATAGGAATAAACGATAAACTTACCCTGTTGGAGATTCTGCATTGGGATGAAGTTGCATTGTTAAATCTCCTAATCTGTTAAAAGCTTGCCCGGCTGCCGTGAAAATTTCACCGACCTTAAAAACAGAAAATTAACCTAAAGAATTTCTCTGAATAATTATTTTACCTTGCTTGCAGAACTCATTGTCCTTTGTAATGAACTTCTTGGCAAAATAAACAAATACACATCAAATCTGTAATTATAACCTGCAAATAGTAGTTTTAATGTGAAGTTAGCGTTTTAAAAAAGTATTTCTTCTTCTTTTATTTTATTTTAACTACAAATAATGACGTGAGCTACTTATCTATTTAAATATTTGCCTAATTTGACAAACTAATTAGGTAATCAGCAATTGTAATTTTAAAAACAAAATTAGATATTTTATCTATGGAAACTTCTGAAAGCAAAAGCATGAAAGAAAATAGTAATAAGGAAAAAATAAACTGGCAACAGTGGCATCCTTGGTCTACCTGCTATTATTTCAAATCAAATTTGACTTTGTGATAAATGATAAGTGATGACTCGCAAGTAGATAATATACAAACACGGAACAACCAGTTGATTTTTGATTTCAATTACAGTTGCTTTGTGACTGTGGCTGTGATTGTATCAAACTTCACTTCGCTCAGTTAAGAAGTGACATAACAAGCAGATGATCTAAAGTTGGGTTAAGTGTAAGTTTTAAGTGTCAAAACAACAAATATAGAGGAAATAAATAAGAAAAGTGAATGAATTTTAATCTTTAATCGATTGACTATACGGGTAGATATTCTATTAAGGGAATATAATAGAGGGTGAATCACGAGCAGCTTATTGAGCTTGAGGCAAATCAGTATTAACAATGGAAGGCCAAACGAACAATCCAAGGCAAGAACAAGAAAATGAAATAGATAGGCCTAAAGGATGTTTGAATTTCTTTTTCCATCCCCTGGGTACGGGTCACCGTTTTGTGGCATTATTTTTTATGTGCTTTTTAAGTTTCGGTAAGAATTTTTATTACTAATATTACAAATTGAAACTCCCACTAAAATATTTTATTAATTTAGATAAAGCTTATTATATTGGATCAATGCTATTTAATACGTTGTTTTAATGCTTTGTTTTAGATAAACTATTGACCTTTAGAACTGTACATTTTTCTAAATTAGGTCATAATTCTGTTTAAAAACAATTCAACACTTTCACTCTTGTTTTAATTTACAATTAGTCATGTAATTTATTGCGTTACTTGTTTATTGGCATGTTTCATAATTCATTTACTTTTATTAATTGATGAAGGTGTATTTAGAAAAATGTTATATGAAACGTTACACTTTTTATCTCTTTGTTATTGAATTGTTTTCATTAAAATGATAAATACTTTTATAATCTGTTTATACCATTTTAGGTTCCTATTTTTGCTATGATAATCCCGCGGCTTTGCAGAATCAAATGAAGACTAATCTAAATTTGACCGAATTACAATATACTTCTTTGTATTCTGTATATTCTTGGCCAAACGTAGTTTTAAATATAGTAGGAGGATTTTTAATAGATAGGCAAGTGATGCACTTTAAGCTTACAATACAAATATATTTATTTGCACCGCATTCCAAAAAACAAGATAAATAACAATTAACTTGTTACATTGTAATTAGTTTTTGAACGTGGTCGCAATATTTGTAAACAGTCCTCAACAAATACTTTTTATAATAAGTATTTCCCATATTTTTAGGGTTTTCGGTATTAGATTAGGATCAAATATTTACGTCGGACTGGCCTTATTGGGACAAATAATTTTCGCGACTTCTGTCCTCTTCAACCAATATTGGCTCATGTTGGTAGCCAGATTTATTTTCGGGTAAGTACAATCATTAGATAGAGTTTGATTAATTTTTGTCTCATTTATCTTCTATGATCTTGTAAGAGGCACTTGTAAGAATATCCAATATTATTATAATATACATTTTGCTATACTTGGTTACAGAAATAATAGAAATCACAATTGATGTTCTATTTAATTTAGATAATTTTTTTAATTCGCGAAAAGATAAATAATTTCGATAAAGTAGATAAATACACGAGTCATCATTATAAAGATTAAAGATCAATTAAATTAAATTAACAATGAATTGTCGATACGTTGGATTTGAATATTAAGAAATAAGTTTTATTACACACCTACATTATTCTTTCATTAAAAAGAGCAAGAGAAATTCTTCAATTTCTCCTCTTACAACTGGCCCATTTACTGCAGGAAAAAATAGTTAATTTTCCCGAATATTCGGCCTTTTTTAGTATCGGTGCAGAATCATTGACAGTAGCACAAAACAACTATGCAGTACTGTGGTTCAAAGGCAAGGAACTCAACATGGTGTTCGGTTTGCAACTCAGCTTCGCTAGAGTCGGGAGTACCGTAAATTTCTTAGTAATGGAAAGTTTGTACAACAGAGTAACGAAGGGTCTTCCCTCGGAGAGCGGACAGTACATTCTGGGTGTCGTCTTGTTCATAGGTAAATAGGAAGTACATTGATCTCTTCGAAATTGATCTCACGTGGATATTCGCATGTTCCAGCCGCTACGACGTGTCTTATTTCGTGGATATGCTCCATTATATTAGGGATATTCGACAAGAGAGTGGAAACTATCGTGGGACGAAGCAACAACGTCCAAGGGGAAACTGTTAAATTGACGGACGTGAAGAATTTCAAGTTAACTTTCTGGCTCGTTTGTCTCATTTGCGTTACCTTCTATTGCGCCATTTTCCCCTTCATTACTATAGCAAAGTAAGCTACTATAAAAATATATCCGTTTTAAATTGATAGTATACATGTGGGGTAACGTATAATTGTGTATTTTTTTAGGGATTTCTTTCAAAAACGATTTAATGTCACTTCACAAGAAGCTAACGATTTGACCAGTATTGTTTATGTCATTTCCGGCGTTTCGTCGCCGATTTTGGGATTATTTATTGACAAAGTGGGAATGAATATCTTCTGGATAATGGTGGGAACTACAGGAACCATTGTGGCCCACGTTTTGTTGGGTTTCTTCACGACGCTCCCTCCGATTCTTCCTATTGTAAGAATTATTTTAGTTTGAAATCCTGCATGTTTTCGAATATGTAATTAAAAATTCTTGATATTTGATCAATTTTTTGTTTTAGATCATAATGGGCGTTGCTTATTCGATCCTGGCTAGTAGTTTATGGCCTTTGGTTTCACTGATTATTCCTGATTATCAATTGGGTACAGCTTATGGAGTGTAAGTATTCGAATTTAATGCTTTATGTAATTAACAAAAATTTGTTTAATTTTTTAATAATGTTTTGCAGCGCTGGATCCGTTCAGAATTTAGGTTTAGCCCTATTTTCTATATTTACTGGTTTAATTGTTGATCATTTAGGCTATGTTGCCATTGAGATTTTCTTTATATGTTCCTTAATAGGTAAGCTGAATATTTTTCGAACATTTCTAAATATTTCTATAAATACAAGTGTTTTAAATATTGATTTATTTTTTAGTGGCGTTGATATCGACGATCTTTTTGTGGATACTAGACCGCAGTGGTGACAAATCATTGAATATGACTGCTGGTGGAAGAAGCAGATTACAATTGTAAGTAAACTGTTCTAGATTTATTTATTTATTCGATAGTAACTTGGAAAAGTCTACTGGCTACTTAGGCCATTGAAATATAAACAAACGCGTTAATGGAAAAGCAAATATTTAACTGCATTCTTGCTTTTATCTGTTGCAATTAATTTTGAATACGCGATTTTCGAATGGAATTTTTTTTAATCTTTTTGGAATGCTTTTGTTATGTCTTATTGCATCTTTGGTGGTTTAGATGTTTACAAATTTATAGTAAATATAACAGAAATTATTGACAATTTTATTGGGAGAATGTGCTGGAAACTTAAGCACAAGATAAAGGTTTATCATTTATTTTGTACTTTTATGTTTTTTTTTGTGAAACAGCTTCTGTTTTTCATTTGAGTTTCGTTCTGTTTTACACCTGTAAGATTCCATTCTTAGACATATTTCCCTATGTTTTAAACATTTAAAAAGGACATTTGCATTTTTGTGATATCAATACAGTTTTCATTTTTATGTCGTAATTCATCAGAATCAAAATCAACATTTCTGGTAAATATTCCACCTTTTGATTTGCAGATTGAATGAGGCAAATGAGCAAAAAAATTAAGCCATGTATTGATGACTTGAGTATATCAAATAAAAGCAAATAATCTTACACCTTACTAATTTCTACCTTTCCCTTAAATGTTTCTTGGTATTTCGTTTCTCGAGTTAAAAGATGCAATTTGAGCTGTACTTTTATCTTAGAGAAAGGTTCGAAAAATACTTGATAATCAACGAAACTCACATAGTAAACAATTATTTTAGGGCAATATACGTTCGCGATCAATTCACCTGAAAGATTATGGGTAAAGAACTTTGTAAGAAAAATAATTTATTAAGTTGTCACAATACAAAGAACTGAAAGAAGACAATTTTGAAGAATTAACGGACGTACTATCGAAGGTTACAAATGTTTTAAATAAGACATATAATTTTTTTTAATTCTTAACTCTTTTTACTTTTATATATTGTTCAGAGGAGCTTAGTACGCATTAATAGAGGTTTTGATCTTTATTTACTACTATTTAGGAGAAATTCTTTAATCTTTTATTCTTTAGTACGTACGAAGCTCGGTAAACCTTAAACCAGAAGGTTGGTTTCTTCTATGAAAGTATTTCATGATTATATCTTCTTTATTTAGTCTTCTATTATCCATCAAAACTTCTTACAATTTTCTTCCTGTGCAAAATTATGTGAACTTGTAGCTAAAATAGCTCTTATATTTTCTCTCTGTAATAATATATTTTTATTCAATTTGGATTGAAATAAAACACCACAACAGAAAAATATTTATTGATAAATTTACTACATTATATACAACACATTTTATTTTCAGAAATATTTTTTATGATTTTCCTCGATGACTGAAAGTACACAATTTACTACAACTACTCACCTACTCACCTAATGAAACTTTTTAACTTCTCAAAAAACTTACACGACTTTAGAACTCTCGTTACATTTCTCTACTTTCGAATTTCTTCGAAAATTTTAGTACCTAAAAAAATGCCACATCATTAAAATTGTAGGAAATATTCTAAAATGTGTTTAAAAAATCTCATCACCAATAAAGACATTTTTCCTTTTGTTTCAGATTACCTAGTGACCGAGATGTCCTTATTAACGCAGAAGCCGCGCCCTCTTCTTCGGATTTGGAACCAAACACTGATTTTCAAATTCGCAATAGGTATTTATCCAGAATTGGTGCCCCTGTAAGTTTCTAATAGGGGAGCAGGATTAATCTGTTAAAAAACTGATAATGAAACTATAATCACTGTTCGATCACATCTGAATTATCAGTTTCTAACAGATTCGATTTTTACCTACTTAATCTCTGCATGTTTTTATTTCAGCTCCCCTCAGCTTATGACGTAGACACAAAGATAATATTCTAATTACCCGATGAATTTGTAAGTAAAACTCGAAATTATCATCACTTATCTGATTGTATTCAAATCAATTTCACTCGATTATCTAGGTAAATTCAACATTAATAAGTAGGTTAATAAGGTTAAATAATGTAAATACAAAATCATGCTCATATTATTCAATCCATAGCGTAATGTGAAGAATGTTTGTGCACTTCAGTAATATGATCTCGGTATAAAGGCATCGTTTTAAATTTGATATAAAAAATAATTTCTTAACGGGATATATATTCATCATCACCACAGGTGATTGTGAAAGTAATAAGAAATTTTTGCAAAACTCCTCAATTCCTATTGTGTAATTCTACCGTTAAGAAGTTGCAAAGTAGTAATTGTGGTTGAGAAAGTGATTCCTCAGCACCATTTAATAGAATCTCAGAAATGCATTCACATCGTGTAAGATTAAAAACAGTGAAAATCAAAAGAATTTTGACTAGATGTATAGATAACTGATTTAGTGATAAGATGAATTTACTCATGTACATTTTTATAAGAAACCGAAGCAATTCTATTATTTTTTTTTATATTTTTGTTTTATGAAAATTTTATTAAATGAGATTAGCATACATATTATAGTTTTTGCTGTGATCCATTTCCATCGTTTATTGTAAATCTATTTATTTAGAGGTGATACTAGAATTAAGGGAATAAAAATTGTATTTTTAAACAAAATTCAAATATTGTGTTACCTTATTTTCTTCATATTTTTAATAAACTGATTATGTATAATTTTTAAGCAATTGAATATTTATTTTTGAATTTTTTGATTGTAGAAAATGGTAATAAAATACATAAAACCTTTTAAGTAAGATTTTCTTTTTATTGGTTAAGGCGAAAGAAAAAGAAAAACGACTGTCCAGTAAACAACGAAGAATAATAATAAAAGCCAGTATAAAATATCAATCAATATCAATATCAATAAAATCTATGATGAATCTGACTTCTCGATGGAGATTTAAAAACTATTCAACTTTTTTTATAGGCAACTCGTTTAACATCAAGTTAAAAAAGAAATAAGTTGGTATGACTGAATTACAAAATAAAAAAATAAAAATGACAACTGACTGATTGAAATGAGCAACACATCTCCATCTCTGTCACACACGTCACGTCATTAGTCCTAAACGTCAACACACGTCTGTGTGCAGGAAAGGACCACTGCATATGTGTCCTCAAAAGAAAAATCCTTTTATTTAAAAATTATACAAGTACAATGAGTTACAAGCCCAAATTAGACGATTTAATTCAATCAGTTTCATTGTACACAGTAAGACCGAGTTTACTTCATTTATATGTTTTACCTTTTTTAATAATTTATTCGTCATGGTTATACCTTTGGTTGGGAATTTACGGTTTCGAAGAATATTACGAAGGGGGATTCGTAGGACTCGCCGTTATCGGATGTATGCAGATACTCACCTGCTTAGCATGCTACTGGTCTGTTCATATAAGCTGCCTGTTCAGCTGTAAGAAAGTATGTTAACTCCATAATTTATTATTCACCACATGCTTTTGTGACCTATTTATTAATTTTTAGGAAAAGGACCCCTTTAAAGCCACTGTAGCAAAGGTGGTTCCTACTCCGAACAATGGCAGCACGGAGCTTATATGTCTCCGGCAAGCGAAGGTTTGCTTTTGATACAAGATTTTTATTTATAAATTCATTTTACATTAACTCTTAGGCCGATTCTGAGACAACATTGTGGTTTAGTTTTCAAAAAACAAAGTATATTTGGGACCCTGATAAAAGAATGTTTCGAGGACTGGAATTTCCTATACACAATAGCTTCGCAGAATACAGCGCTTCAAAAGGTTTACAAGAAGACATTGATATAATACAAGCCGAACAGATTTATGGTAGAAATATACTAAACATGGTTAGTTAAAGAGTTAGTTTAGTTTCTTTAAATATTACCATTCGATTTATAATTCAGGTTGTCCCGGAATTTATGGAACTGTTCGTGGAACGAGCAACGGCACCTTTCTTCGTGTTTCAAGTGTTCTGCGTGGGTTTATGGTGCCTGGACGATTTCTGGTACTATTCCTTGTTCACGTTGGTCATGCTGGTGCTGTTCGAATGCACTTTAGTGCAACAGCAGCTGCGCAACATGGACGAAATTCGCAAAATGGGCAACAAACCGTACAACATTCTCGTGTATCGCAGCAGAAAATGGAGGATTATGCCCACAACTGACCTGATACCTGGTGATATTATTTCCATCACGAGATCGCAGAAGGATAATCTGATACCGTGCGATGTTCTGCTGCTGAGGGGCTCTTGCATTGTCGATGAGAGTATGTTGACTGGTGAGTCTGTACCTCAGATGAAAGAGTCGATTGAAAATTTTGACCAAAAGACCATATTGGACCCTGAGGGGGACGGTAAACTTCATGTATTGTTTGGTGGTAAGGTTTCTTTCTCCACTTCTATTATCCAAAATTGTATGTATAATTTCATTTTCAAGGAACTAAAGTCGTACAAAATACTGCACCAACGAAAACTAGTTCAGGATTAAGGCCACAAGACAACGGCTGTGTAGCTTATGTTCTAAGAACGGGCTTTAATACGTCACAAGGAAAATTATTACGAACTATTCTGTTTGGAGTAAAACGAGTTACAGCGAATAATAAGGAAACGTTTGGTAAGTTAATTATAACATAAACTACATTGTGATAATTAACAATTGGTTGTAGGTTTTATTATTTTCCTGCTAATATTCGCGATTGCGGCAGCTTGCTACGTTTGGATGAAAGGTATCGAAGATCCAAAGAGAAGTAGATATAAATTATTCCTGGAGTGTACTTTAATCTTAACATCAGTTATTCCTCCCGAACTACCTATTGAATTATCGTTAGCCGTTAATTCCTCCCTGTTGGCCCTATCGAAATTAGGTACTAATTTATCTCGCCTTACCGTAAATTGTGCATTTATATTTTCATTATTTTTAGGAATATTTTGTACTGAACCCTTCAGAATCCCATTCGCTGGTAAAATAGACATTTGCTGCTTCGATAAAACCGGAACCCTCACAAGCGATAGCCTGATAGTGGAAGGTGTGGCCTTGGCCGAGAAAGACTCCTCAGCCACAGCTGTTGCGGACCTGCCTGCCGAAACCGTTCAAGTATTGGCTAGTTGCCATTCGCTGGCGCAATTGGACGACGGCTTGGTGGGCGATCCGCTGGAAAAGGCCACGCTCACAGCCATCGATTGGAACGTTACGAAAGCCGATGCTGTAGTCCCCAAGAAAGGAAGGTTGTCTGGATTGAAAATCTTCCACAGGTGAATTTAAGTAAGTGTATGGTCGGTTATTAGTATAAATCATTGATTATTGTAGATTTCATTTTTCGTCGGTTTTGAAAAGGATGTCCGTCATTGCCGGGTATAATCCCGTAGGATCGACGGATACCGTATACATCGCGACCGTGAAAGGTGCCCCTGAGACATTGAAACCCATGTTTTCTGAAACACCGAAATTGTACGATGAAGTTTACTTGGAGCTGTCCAGAAGAGGCGCTAGAGTCTTAGCATTAGGTATATGCACAATGATACCCATTAGAGCCTAATTCATTTGGGATTTCTGGTAGGTTTTAGAGAAATGGGGAAGCTGTCTCCTCAAGAAATCAGAGAATTGACGCGCGACGATGTGGAGAAAAATTTAAAATTCGCCGGTTTCGTCATTATCTCATGTCCACTTAAAATCGACTCGAAGGCTGTGATTAAAGAACTCCAATATGCATCGCACAGGGCTGTTATGATTACGGGTGACAACCCATTGACCGCATGCCACGTTGCTAAAGAACTGAAATTTACCACAAAAACTACGTTAATATTGACTCCTAACCCTGGAGGTTTCATTTGGAAGTAAGTTCTGATATTAAACTACACGTTGGCATTGTTCTAACGCGTTTTTACTAGGAGCATCAGCGAAACTAAACAAGTTCCATTGGAGTACTACTACAAGAATCTCGTCAAAGAATACGATCTCTGCATCACCGGAGACGGATTGAATTATTTGCGCGAACACTACAGTTCTTTTCTGCGATTGATTATGCCTTACATAACCGTATACGCGCGTTTCGCTCCTAAGCAAAAAGAGTTTGTCGTGACTCAATTGAAGCACTTGGGCTACACGACTTTGATGTGCGGTGATGGTACCAACGATGTGGGAGCCCTCAAACATGCCGATGTCGGCGTAGCAATTCTTGCGAATGCTCCCGAGAGATTAGTAGATCCAAAGGTAAGATTGGCGTACAAAAAAAACATGAGATTTATTTTCAATTTGCTGGATTGTTAGGTACAAAAAGAGAAATTGGAGAAGGAACGCGAAAAGAAGCAAAAGGAACTGAAAGAAGCCATTCAGAATCAACGGCCTAATCACGTTAGGAATATGATCAATCATCGAGAGAAAATGCAATCGAAACTTGATAAAATGGTGAAGGAACTGGAAGAGCAAGATCAACTGCAAATAGTCAAATTAGGCGATGCCAGTATCGCATCCCCGTTTACCAGTAAATTGTCGTCAATCATGTGCAGTTAGTTTTTTTCTTTCTAAAAATCTATTAGGAACCGATAAGCTCAGAATATCTAAAGGTTGCTCTATTACATCTGTAGAATATAACTAAAGTAATTCGTGTCATTTTAACATTAGTAGAGCAAGAACTTCTTAAGAAGTCATAGAACAATTTTTATACGAACTGTTTAGTACTACCTATTAGCTGATGAGACTATTCTAATTAATGTTTACATTTTAGTTTGTCATATAATTAAACAAGGCAGGTGCACGCTGGTCACCACTTTGCAGATGTTCAAGATTTTAGCATTGAATGCCCTGATTTTGGCTTATACGCAATCGGTTTTATATTTGGATGGGATAAAGTTGAGGGATTTACAGGCAACTCTGCAAGGTCTTCTATTAGCGGCCAGTTTCCTCTTCATTTCTAGATCAAAGGTAGTTTTGTAACGTTTTTACATGAATATGTGTATAAAAATGTGTGTTTTTTTTAGCCTTTGAGAGTTTTATCGAAGCAAAGGCCACTGCCGAACATATTCAACTGGTACACGATTCTAACAGTAATCCTGCAATTTTCCGTGCACTTCGTTTGCCTAATTTTCCTCGTGCAGCAAGCGAAATTGAGGATACCTGCGTAAGATATTCGCCTAAATGTGCAAGAAGAAATTGTATTCGTTTGCTTTCAGGGATGAATTGCCGTTACCGCCGAACCAGTCAATTGATCTGTCTGAGGAGGAGAAAGACAAATTATTCAAACCAAACATTGTAAATAGTTCTGTGTACATCATTTGTATGGCTTTGCAGATAGCTACTTTCGCCATAAATTACAGGGTATTACACTTCGCTAATTGTACCGATTACTCGTATTAAGTAATGATGTTTTTAGGGGAATCCTTACATGGAAAGTCTAAAAGAAAACAGGGCATTGTTATATAGCATTTTGGGATCTGGAGCTGTCGTTCTGGCTTTAGCCTTGGGGTTGATTCCTGAACTGTCGGAACAATTGGAAATAATCGATTTTCCATCGGATGTAAGTGTATTAAATGAACGAGCAGTAACAATTTATGTTCTTTGGTTAATTTTTTAGTTCCGAATCATCTTGATCCAAGTGTTATTCGCGGATTTCTTCTTATCATATTTGGTCGATAGATTGTGTCTATGGATATGTGGTGAAGGTAGTATGAAAACGTAATTTTTGAAACAAGACTAGGAAAAATAATAGTATTTATGTCATTCCAATTAATAAAAAAATTGAATCAAACCTCGTTTGTGATTTGAAAAAAATGAATAAAAAATATTTTTACTCGTAATGAACTTTAAATCGGCCATAGCTAATAAAATATGGCATAATAAACACCAATTTGTAGGAAAAATAATTTCAATATAAATTGAGTTGAAAAAAATGTATATTTTAATATAATTGATGTATAAAGTATAGACTTTATTTGTACTCGTATTATAGATTTCTAAACACATAAGTGCAATTTTGTACGCAATATGGTCTATGGGTGCAACAAAGATAACTTCCATTAGTGTCATATAGAGGAAAATAATGTGGGATTGCAACTTTCTCACTCTAACCAATGTTATTGTAATCTTTCTTTGTTCAACTCATAGAATCGACCATATTGCAAATAAACCTGCACTTAGAGAGGTAGTGTAAAATTATTTACGAGCCCATTCGGGTTGGGGTGGAGCATTAGGAATCATTCGAATATGCGGTCCGTAACGCTTAAACAATTCTCTAATATAATTTGCTCTATAAATTCCAGGATATCTAAAAATATATAATGTAAAAGGAGTCCAAAGAAGGTAAGGTAAGTACTAAGTTTGATTATATTAAAGTTTGTATTACCTTTTCTCAGCAAAATCTTCGACTGCTTCTTGGACATCAAAACGCAATTCTTGCACTAGATATGCAACAATTAGGAAACCTGTCCTGTTAAAGCCATGGGTACAGTGAACTGCAATGCAATCTTGAGGGTTGTTGGCAACAAAATCATTTACAATTGCAATGAATTTTTTTGTGGTACCAACACTTGGACAGGTACCGTGACCATGGCAGCTTAATTTCACGTATTGACATCCTCGCGACTCGATTTCGCTTTTATCGTAATATCTGTCTGTATTAGTTAAATCTATCCACAGACCTATGTTAACCTGTAAAACTTGTTGTAACAAAAAAGTGACCTTTAATGAGATAAACATACCCGGTTATTTTCAGCCCTTTCAAATATTTCACTCGGTGGGTATTCATTACCAGGTGGTACTTTGTTTAAGTATTTATCATTTAGGGGTGTCTTAAGGGGCATGAATCTACGAGCAATTAAAGACGATCCATTATCCGGACATCCCAGCCATCCTTTTGGTATCTTATTATTCTTATTGTTTCCCATTATTTTAGAATAAAAATTACCACACTTTCCAATTTGACTATTTCCTTGACTAGGAGCAATTATCGGTCGAAATATTTTAAATCAAGGTTTTAGCAATTTTGATTTGGTGTCTAATTATATATAATATAAAGATTCCGTTTGGCTAAAAAAATTTAAAATTAGAAACATATTGTAAAATTGTATAATAATTGTAAAATCCAAGAAACAGTAACAAATATTTTTTACTAATGACATATGACATGCATCTGACATCACTTCTTCTTTTTTCTAATTTTCTTTGAGCTGTTTTATGTAGCAAAACAGCCAATTTTGTTATTGTAAAAATAATGCAATCTCCTAAAAAATAACTACTATTTAAGTCACACTAATAAAAATTATTAAAACATTACTGTGCTCAGTAATGTTTAAGTAGTTCTATCTGACAAGGGGTGCATGATAAATCTGGCTGAATAAGTACGTCAAAATTATGATAATAAAGAAGAAAATTTTGGCATTTAAACAGTGTTGTTTGACGTTGACATTATAATTCTTGTCTTCTGTCTATTTAATTTATGGAATGTACATTCCATACACGGTTTGTAGAATAATTGTTATTCTCTTGTTATTCTGTAGAAATATTGTTATCTCACTCCCTACCCCAGCAATGAGATAGTTGCGTACCAATCAAAGAGAGAGGTCCGATGAAAACGCTGCACTATTTTAGACTTTAGTCAAAAGTGCGCATGTACAGTTTTTACCGCCAACTGTCAATTTTTTAAATGAACACCAAATTAAACACAAATTATACTGCTTAAAAGAATGAAAAGCTATTAAAAATGGGTTGAATTTGTTTGAAAATGTTTAAATAAGGGAATTAAAAACAATATTTGACTGGCAAAAGTCATTTAGTTAATTAGAATCACATAATTTATATATTTTAATTAAAAAAAAATTAAATCCATTAATTTAATCATTATTTATATTAATTCAAGATTCTTACCATAGACAAAATAAATCTTTCTTTCTCTATGATTCTTACCCAAATAAATTACTTCCGAATTCCGAACAAAAACAGTCCAAAAACCTCACTCAAAACTATAAACAATAAAAATGGCGAAAACGAAAGCATGTAAACGTAAACAGATATTCACTTTAACCAAACTTTTAAGAAACGATAGCCAATCGTTATCACGGCTCAATATCACATGACCAGGGCAAGCGCAGAACCCAATTTTGTCTAAAATAGCGCCGACCTATATATATCTGCACTCTAATGATTGGTACGCTTTCTGAACGATACCAGCAGTATATATATTTTTATGTATATGGTACATTCACATAAAATAAAAGGTGAATAAATTAGGTAAAAATAAATAAATTTTAACATAATCTACCACATAGTATATGTTCAATTCAACTAATTTACGCAATTATTACAATATTTGGTAAAACGTTAAACGGAAACCCAGTTTAAAGTAAAATGAACGGGTCGAGACCCAGAAGAGATCCAGGACCAGTACCTGCTAGATGGTTGCGATGCCCCAGAAAATCAAAGCTAATAGCCGACAAATTTATTGCTTTTAAAACACCCTTAAGCTCCGATTTCGACGATAAAGTACCACCAGAATTTCGATTCAACCCAAAAATGATATTCGACACTGCTAAAAGAGACAAGGTACTAGTAAGTAACAAATAATCCACTTGATCTTCGAATTTCAACGTTTACAGGTCAAATTTGGTCTATGGATCGACTTGACAAACACCACTCGTTTCTACAACCATAAAATTATCAAAGAATTCGATTGTAAATATGTTAAACTTCAATGCAAAGGCCACGGCGAAACACCATCAACCGATCAAGCAAGAGAGTTTATTAGGGTTGTACATGACTTTATTACAAACCATCCTTTAGAGAGAATCGCTGTTCATTGTACGCACGGATTTAACAGGACTGGATTTCTAATTGTTTCCTACTTGGTGGAAAAAATGGATTATAGCGTTGTCGTGGCATTGCAAATGTTCGCCGAAGCAAGGTAAAATCTTAAGACTCTTCTTGTGAGTGAGTTTTTATGTTTTACGATGTAATTTCAGACCCATCGGTATATATAAAAAAGAATATATATCAGAATTGTACAGAAGGTACGATGACGAAGAGGACGCTTATCCTCCACCGCCTCTTCCTGATTGGTGTTTCGAAGGAGAAGATTCGTACGGATCTGATGATTTAAATGATTACGACGATCCGAGCGAAGAAGGAGCTTCTACTTCCAAGTAATCCATTCATTATGCAATCATTTGCGGCAGGTGATCTAATTTATTTCTAATTTCAGCCACACAGAAAAGAGTTCGCATAAGAAGAAACGTAGGCATAACGTTAAAAACCCCAAATTTATGGAGGGAGTCCCTGGAGTCGATTCGTTCGAAGAACAACCGAAATCTTCTTATTTGCAAAAGAAAGTGATTACCATGTGTGGATGGAGACACACGACTTTTCCAGGAAGCCAGCCTGTATCTATGGACATGAACAATTTAGAACTTCTAGGGCAAAAATCCTACAGGTACTAAATTAATTATTTACCTAATATATTTAATGCAACGATTAAATTATAGAGTTTCATGGAAAGCTGATGGTACTAGGTATTTGATGCTTATTGATGGTAAAGATGAAGTGTACCTTTTCGATCGTAATCACAGCGTTTTCAAAGTTAATGGCCTTCAATTTGTACATAGAACAAACATTAAGAGATACATTAGAAATACTTTATTAGATGGGGTAAGTGCAAATTGCACTTTCTTCGCTCGCCTATTGCTAATTTTCATCTTTTTGCAGGAGATGGTAATAGATAAAGTAAACGGGAAAAACATCCCTAGGTATTTAGCGTACGATATAATAGAATACGAAGAGCAAAAAGTGGGCAAAGAATTGGACCATCCGGAGAGGTTGCAATGCATAGAAAACGAAGTAATTAAACCTAGATATTTAGCTATGGAAAAAGGATTAATTAGGAAAGAAACCGAGCCGTTCAGTGTGAGGAAAAAAGATTTTTGGCCAATTACTCAGGCGGCTAGTTTATTAGGGGAAAAGTTCGCCAAAACTTTGTCTCACGAGCCCGACGGGCTTATATTTCAACCAGCTAAGGAGGTTTGTGGTACACTAATGTTTTGTTTCGTCAAAAACTATCTTTTTATTTGCAGCCTTACACGGCTGGTCCTTGCAACGATGTCCTGAAATGGAAACCACTTAGCCTTAATTCTGTTGATTTTCGATTGAAGATTGTCGTGACCTCTGGAATGGGGTAGGTGTTATTAAGGCGCGATACCTAGTTGTATTTAATTTCCTTCGCATTTTTCTTAGGTTGCTTCCTGTGAAAAAAGCTTCCCTCTTTGTGAATAAAGGCAAGCAAGAAATATGTTTAGCTGAAATGAAGTATACTAAACAATTAAAAGACTATAATGGGAAAATAGTAGAATGCAAATACGAGAATAATCAGTGGGTATTTATGAGGGAAAGGACGGATAAAAACTTTCCAAATAGCTACGATACTGCAATAGGTAGATTTATATTTTATTCGTATAGGTTTACAATTTTTTTGTATATTCCAAAAGTTACTGAATAGGCAATGTTTTTTATTTTTTAGCTGTAGGTGATAGTATAAAAAATCCTGTTACAAAGGAAATCCTATTATTCTACATAAATGAGCACAGGTTTAACGATGACTCTGACATTATGCCGCCTCCATCGAAGAAGATCAAGAGATAGACATTGTAAGAATATTTAAACTCTTTATTTATTTTCCAATAAACTTTTTATAAAGTAATACATAAAAAACGGTATAATTAGGTTTCAAGCCAGGAAGGATCATTTTAGTGTAAATGTGAATCTCTCTCATGGCTCGGTTGAATTATTTGATTTAATAAAAAATACAAACTTACAATACTTTTAATTAGAAATCTAAACTAAATTAAGTTAACCATTTATTGTGCATCAGAAAATTTTTCGTATTTTCTAAATTATTTCCAGTCTTCTGCGGTTATTGAAAATATTTCTGATTACAGAGGACAAATGTAATTCTAAAAACACAGTTGAGCTTTATGGATTCTGAATTCCGAGGCATTATAAAATCTACAATTTGCAATTAAATTATTTTCACAACCAATATTTTCACTGTCTTGTTGATTGCAGCGCATAAAGTTTGCTTATCTCAGAAACTATACATCTGAAAAATTAAAGAAAATCAAAAACGATTAAACTGTTAAAAGTACGCCAATATGTCGGTTAGATTTTTTTGACAAAAATAAACAAGCTACACCCGTCACCAACACGGAATACTTTTTAAATAATCAGTTCACTGTATACAATTTAAAAAGTAAGGCATCAAATTCCAAAAAATAAAAAACCTCTATATTCTACCTAAATACTACACATTCTCCTCGCTCCATTAAATTAAATCAAATTACACTCTATGACTAGATCACAAAAACCTCCCCAAGCCACCTACACCTCGAAAAGCCCCTTCTAAAACAAAGTTCTTTGCGTCGCATTTTTACATTCCCAAGGAAAAATGCAATACTCAACGGCTTTTGATCTCGTCCTTCTCCTTGAACATCCATTTATCGTTCATTTTCTTCACCTTCTGCTCCCTGAAGAGCTTCACCAAATGGTGCCCGACGTTGTTCTGCGCGGCCTTCGCGAGGTTCTCCGGCAGATCCTCGTAGATATTCTTCACTAAATCCGCTTCGTCGAAGCTCTCGTCGCGATGCGAATTCAAAAACTCGATGATTTGCTGTTCGCGTTCCTTGCGGTGGCTGATGTAGAAGTCGATTTTCTCAATAGGATCCTGCGAAGAACACACACAATAAGTTTACTTTGCATCCCCTTACGGGGGCTTGCTTACCTGGACGACATTTCCGTGTCCTGGGAGGATAACGGCCGGTTTTAAATCGGCTATATCGCTCAAGGAGCGCATGTAATCGTACAAGTCCTCGAAGACGGCGGTACCTTCGCCCAAAATGCAATCACCGCTGAATAGAACGTTGTCTTCCAGCAGGTGCAGTACTACGTGATCATCGGAGTGTCCCGGGGTGTGGTGCACCCGCAACGTGGCTCCTTCCACAGCGAATTCCTGCCCGTCCTTCAGCATCTCGATCTTCTCGTTCTTGTTAATGTCGTCCTTGGAGCTCGGGTACTTCCAGACTTGACAGTGCTCTGGAAACGATAATCACTATTGTAGAATAGAACACCCGGAATAGCGTTTTTAATTCAGTATAACAGTTAATCCTCTCCTTCCGATGAGATAATTTTTTGTTATTGTTTTCGTTAATTTAATTTAATCCTCTGCGATAGCAAAGTTCAAACGAATAATCGACTTCGTAACGATACTACATAGCCATATCAATCGTTAGAAACGAGCGATAAAGGACTATATCTGAACGTACAAACATTGTAAAAATCGAACGAAGCCGTTGATTAGGTTTCAAAGAATAGTTTGTTTTAAATTTATCTGCTCGACGTGGCCTTTGCACTTACTTGTTTTTTCCTGAAGATCGTTGAGAATTTCTGATAGCCCTCCAATGTGGTCGTGGTGCCAGTGGGTAATGAAGATGTGGGCTAAATCGATGCCTTCGTATGTTAGAACTGATTTTAGGAGGTTGATGTATTGAGGAACGCCGCCTTCGCCGGTGTCGATCAAGATTCTCCTACAAAAAAGGATTTTTTATGCTTAATTTTAAGCCTCAAGAGGTCTTCGGTTTACTTCAAGGGAGTAGTTTTAAATGTTTTTGTACTAGTTGATAAATTGAAAGGAAATAAGTCTAACATCATTGAAGATTTAGTTGTTGGGGATTTAAGGATTAGAATACTTGATCTCTAATTTGGAAAATGTTTTCGGTATCCACCAAACTTAGTTGTAGTGCTATATAGGGAAAGGCCAAGGAAAGTAGGAAGATTGAAAACAATAGGGGAATGACCGGCAATAGAACTTCAGCTAATAAAATCATCTATTTTTCAGTATATAAAACGAAATTAAAATCAAATTTTCCTTATATAATTTGTATGTTCAAAAGAAATTCAAAGATGTATGAAATATACCCTAGACTAGACCCATTTTAGTTTTTTATCTATTTTCTCCCTTTTCCCCACATTCCTTTTTTTGTTCTACTTTATTTGAAAATGAGGTAAAAATAAACACCCGTGGTCCGAGTGCTTAGCCACTTCATGTCACGTCCTATATCTTATCTATTTTGAACTCGCGAGACCTGAGCTTTTGAAAGTAAATAAACTTATTCCGATTCCGGGAAAACAAATTCCTTACCTTTTTCCGGTTCCAACGATGTACGTGTTGGTCCCTTGGAGGGTCATAATTCCCGGGTTACATCCCAAGATTCTGATAACTCGCGGTGAAATTTTCGTTACTGCTGGTATTACGGCGGCCATTTTTTCACTGGTCTGAGTTTGTTGGCTGATTGCGCAGTTGTAAATTTTTTATGGTCTTGAACTTGGTTTTTCAATGGTCAATCGCAAAATCTGAAAACAAAAAAAATTAAATTAATTTGGGTAGGTAAAATTTAAAACAGTCCTATGACAAATGGAGGATTTTTTGACAAATAAAAATTGGTTTAATTAAAGTTTTTGATAGATCAACATTTTGAACCGGCATTTTTCAGCATTGCTTTCGAGGAAACCCCGACGTGATATGTTCTAAAATACAAGAGAACTTATTGAAAGTTACATGACTGAAATATACTGAATTTTTAATCAATTGCTATTTAATCATTTGTTATTTAATATTCTAGATAAGTCGAAAAACAAATTATTATTAAAGTGGACAAAAATTTTACGAATTTATTATGACGGGGTAGACGGTAAAACAGATTCAAATGCACATTATTTTACAACATGGGCTATTTTACAATATTCCTGAAATTACGTAGAATTTCTAACGGCATTCTAGCTATTTATACCATTTTTAATTGTCTATATATTTAGTAATGCAACATGTGATTATTTTATTCCGAACAGAAACTATTTAAAACATCTGTCATACAAAAATTCGTAAAAGGATTCCGTGATTTAAAATAAAGTAAATTATTATAATAGTTTTTATACTTCGAATAGAACAGAAGCATATTTTCGGTATAGACACTCATTGTGATTTCAAATTAACCACAATGAATATACTGTTGAATATTTTTTGGCAGATAATTAATCCACATATATCGGCTGTTTCGTAATGGAATTAAAGAAAAAAATGTTTAGTCACAGACAAAAAACTTCAAAATAAGAACTTGTATAGATATGTAACTAAATGGACTTATAGGCATTTCATACTGTGAAATAGATGTTAATGTCTTTTATAGTTAATTTCATTCTGAATATTCTAATTTTTATTTTCGTTATCAAGTACACTCTTTTATTTAAAAAATGAGTAAATAACAAATTATTTGAGTTTTAAAAGTTTGGTAATAATGGTACCAATTTTTCAACTTCTATGTTCCTTGTAAACATTTATTAAAAGTCTTTCCGTTATACGCAAACGGGTAAAACAAGGAACTTAACCATTATCATAATGTACCTACCCAGTACTTAGTACCTACTTAGCTACAAATCTAATGACAACCTAGGTATGCAATTTAATAGTTAAAAACAATAAATCATTGATTTCTGAAATCAATGTAAAAACCGCAATTTATGCTTGATATGCACTCTAGCGCTTAGTTATGGTCGTTTAGGTAATTGGCATTAATTTAAAATCAATCCGCTCGTTTTGCACCAATAGCCCAGTGTGTTTGAAAAATAATTTTAACAAAAATAAATCACAAAGAAAATCAAAAAGGCTAATTCGTAATAAATATTTTTCGACGATAGCAAACTTCTAAGCATTTTTAATCCCAACGAAAATTCCTCGGATGCTTTCAAGTAAAGTAATCGAGTGGGGTATTATATGTTCTCTTTCGAAAAAATTCCGATTATGTATAGCAGTACCTATATAAACCGAGCACATCGCTGCCATTTAACTAAGTAACAAATTTGATTCGAAAGCGAAAATGTCTTCTATCAGAGTGCTATTCTTAACATGTTTCATCGCCATGGTATTGGCAGAGGAGAGCTCTAGACCCTCAGTATCAGTCTCTTCTGTTAGACCTACTATTAGAGCCTTCTCGACAACAATAAGACTAGTTCCAGACCAGAAAGCAGGATATCCGGAGAAGCTAATGCTCCAGGCAGCCGGAGCCCTAACTGACGATTCGAAAAGAGATGCATCTACAATGGTATGGGGCATTTTATTTAAATGTTTTGATGAATTGTGATTTTTTTCTGTTTCTTCTTAAATGTGTCTATACTTGACGCGTTTGGAAGACGGAGTAATAAACACATTAATCAGCCGAAGTCCACCCGGGGTGTAAACGAGTCGCCGATATCACTCACTCCCCATTGGCCGGCCTAAAAGTTGATACTCTGTGAATGGTTTTGAGTAATTGTAGGCGATGTGCGAAATTTCTATCGATCGAATCGATCATTGTACAGGATTTTGCCGTACAGGGGTAGGGATATTTTGGAACCGCCTGACATTTTTATTACTCCGTCTTCCAAACGCGCCAAGTATAGTCTCGAAATTGAATTTCTAATATTTCTAATACATTCACTGGACTAAATCATAATCAAAATGCAACAATGAAAACGATAAGTACTCATTGGCGGTACTGCATAAGTAAAAATGCCAACTACAAAGAATCGTATAACTTTAATTTAAAATTTATTGAATTATCTACCTAAAGTTTTCTAATATTGACCTAAACTTTGACCCTTAATAGGTACTTTTTCAAACATTACAAGTACCTACAGTGCGATATGAATAACTGTAGACGCGATTTGAGCAGCTTTTAATCAATTCTGCAGCTATTACTATTGGATTGTACTCGATTTAAATATCGCATCATTAACAGCAACAACTTATAATTGTTTCAAATTTTCACATTTTTTTCACCAATATTTCTCATTGACCTGCTAATTTGTCAGCTTCTCGTTTCATTAAGATTTTCTTAAAAAAATTAATAACGGCCGCAAACTCGCCTTGACCTTTTCTAACGGGCGTTCATGAGCTGAAACAGCGATAAAACCGCAAGCTGCGGCTCGGTGTATAAATATCGGAAAATCTATCGGATTAATCAGTACCTGTCGTTGAATTAATTGCGGCTTGTCGTTCGAATTAAACCTCGAAAAATGTCTGTCAAAAGTTTGCTGATTTTTGTCGCTTTTTTGTCGGTGATACTCGCGAAGAAACTCAACGAGGAAGTCAAAACCGACGAGAAACAGCTGGGCAATCCTTTCCCGAGGGCTACTATTGGAGAACCGAACGCCGAATTGACTCCAATTGAGGTATGTACGCAAATATTATTTAATTTTATAAAAATGTCGGGTAAAAGCAATGCATACCTGTACGTATAGGTGTCTTTCGTGTTTTGATTTCAAAATTTCAAAACTATCAAACTATCAAACTATATCAATGAAACAACCACCACTGTACGGTATAAATATCACTAAAATTTGTAGATTATATAAAAATATTGTTACCTTTTTTTAAAAAATTCGGCTCGAATACTCTGGCACTTTGAACTGAAACTCTTTAGAACCAAAAAAAATATCTGGCCTTCAAGGAGACGTGAATCTTACTAATCTTCTTCACAGACGCTTTTAACTTTTATACAGTCTGCAGCCTTATCTGTATACATTTTTATAACCTCGATGTAGTTCAAACTGATAAAAGGAGTACAGCAAACCGATAATTGTGTATGATTAATTATGTTATACTTTTTTCTTTATAAAACGTGTTACTGATTGATTGCACTTGTGTCGATTATTTAATCTTAGAGATATGTATCTGCGTTTTCCCACACATTTTTAAACAGTTTACAATGCTCCGTCCGAAATAGTCATTTTAGAATTTTCTTTTTAATGCAAGTGAAATATATTACTCATCTATTTTCCAATCAGTGTCAATTAATAAGGATTTTTACTTAATATTTAATAACTAATAATGGGGGTGTAATAGTATTTAAAATTTCCTGTTAATAATTAAGATAGTAGGGAAGGATATCAAGTATATTTTTTATCGTGACTAATGTTGTTGGATATCGCACTGGGCCCATGGAAACAGTTAAGTTCAACGCCACTCGCATTAGAATGAAGAGATAAAAGTGTTTGATTTTTCAGTCAACCATTTATTCTTAATAATTAGTTGACTATTTTTTATGGCAAGCGATATGTAGAAGATTAAAAGTCGCTTCTCTAGTGCAAAAGCGTGATTCCCGGATATTCAAAAAGTCGGATTCAATAAAATACAGCAATTCGAACAATGAGATAAAAGGATTTTCCTAAATTGATTTTTTTTTCCAATTAAATATGTTTACACGCGTTGGTACATACATGAGTTTCCCGCAATTACAACTTCGCTATAATTTCTTGCGCGCAAACAGTAAATATTTTGATTAGTTTACAAAAAAATAAAATAACGGACTTTAATTGGCTGATTATTCGATATTCGGTCGGAAAAATTCTGTAAAAATTTGTTATTAATTAAACGGAATTCCAAATTGCTCATTAAAAAAAAATAATATCTACCTAATAATAAACCATCGTTTGGTTATCATTTTTTCCAGTAACGATTGTAAATACATTCAGGATAAAATAAACAGTTTGTGAAATGTTGCAATTGTGAGTAAACTCGGTATTTTGGGATTTATATAAAGGTTATCCGGTATGTAATTGCTTTCCATGTACCTACAGAATCTTTTAAAAAAAGGTTATATTTATAGAAATAGAAAAAATATATTAATGTGAACATTTTCTAAGAAAAATGTAGTATGTAGTACATAAAACATGTGACAAGCTATAAGAAAATCTAAAAATGTTCTGTACAAATCATTAAAATTCAGTTATTGATAAACTAGTATAGTACCTATTGTTTAGTCTATTTGCAACATTTAATTATACAAAGTGTTGTTAAACTTTAGCTTATTTTTTAGATACAATATATCTGAAGCGTTTGTTAAACAAAATTTTTAACCCAGATAAAATGTCGTTAGTTGTTAGTTTATCAAAATTTGGATAACTTCCATATCGCATAAAGTTTTTAGTGCACATGGCACATTCTTAATTCTTAATTCATCGATAAACTTCTACACTAATTTTGATAAACCGCTTTAAACTTGTTAGTAGGTCGGAGAGTTCAAGAAAACTTTCGTACATTTCGCAATTTCGTTTTTGTGTGTTCTCTGATTTGTCGAACATAATCGAATCGTAACTTTTATTGCAAACTAATGCAGACTATCGCAATTGAAAAATATACGAGACAGTATGATTTGTATTGTTTAAGAACGTGATAGATTAGGAGTGAAGATTTCAAAATTTCTTTTAAGATTTTGTCTTTGAATCATCTTTGTTCGAAAATCCGTCAGTTCGGATTCATTTCAGGAATTTATGATTTTTTTTAATTATAATTAATGTAACTTATCAGAAATTAATGGTTTAAATTCTGCTCAATGAACTTTGACCAGATTGATCCAAACAATGCTTATTTAATCATTTTATTGTGGCGTGTGCTTATAATTATAAATACATAGATATGTACATACATGCTGTTTGGCGCGTTCACCAAGCTATTTTTCTCTGCAAACTCCTTTTCCGTAGTTTTAAAAATATCTTTCATTTTATTTTTTTTATTCATGTCCTTTAAATTATCAATTCCTATTAATAATTAAATTTAATAAACAGATTCCTAAAATGTTAAACAATATTTTCATTATTTAATACCTATTTATTTTTTACACGCTATGTTAGTGATAAGCTTAAAGAGACAAATATGATTATTTTAATAATATGTACATAATTACTTACATATTTGATATAGTAATGAAATAATGATATGCCTCATAAAAATATTTGCGAATGTGTTTAGTATTTTTTTCGTGGAGATTCATTTATTAATTACACATAGGAAAATACCATCAAGTAGCTAATTGAGAAATGTTTGTTTGTATATGGTCAAAAACACCATAATTTCTCTTTTTACTTATAATTACAATAACACTTTAATTTTTAAGGTTCTAATGACAATAGGGATAGGGAACCAAACAAATTACCAGTTTAACGGATCATCTTCAACAAACTTAAGATACCCTAGAAAAATATTTCCGTTTTGCAGCAGTACTCGTAATTTTAAAATGCAAAGCCCGTGTTCGGGAGGAACAAAAAGACGGTTAGAGATCAACAAATTTGAAGCTCCATATAGATTACATCGTTCTCATTTTAAATGCAATCGACGGTGGTATAAAATGTGCTGATGAGCTATTATTAATGAATGTAATTAACGAATTTACAGGTCGACCAAATAGACTCTAATGTGATGGAGGCATAGCGTTAAAAAGCCTTTGGAATTATTAGGAATTATGTTTATTTGGTCGACTTTTCCTGGTGCAATCTAGAGATTATATAATAACAATGCTGGTGTATAATAGAGATAATTGGAATGATTGTAATAATGTGTGATTATCTCGCAATTTGCGCATTTTTCGTTGTTTGTTGTTAAAAAAATAAAGCTCTAATACCTATAAAAAATGTTGATTATGATACATGGAGTGAATTCCACTTTAGCAGATTTTTTTATAGTATAGATTATATAAATTGAATTTGTTAAGACTTAACAATCACATTCATTTTCATGTCAAAATGACACATAAGTCTTCACAAAACGACAGATATCTTCAACAACTTGAAATCCCCTCTAAAAAATGTCTAAACCGGCCGCAGTAAGACCTAATTTTATTTCACTAAAAACACCCCAAAATAAATCTCCCTAAAGGCCTCGCCGAACTGAAGCTACATGATTGTTGTTTAGGCATTCAAGCAGAACAAAATCGTCCCGGACGTGTGCCCCGATGGTCCGGAAAAGGCGCTCGAAGTTATTTACCCATCGGCCAAGGAAGTGAAATTCGGCAACGAATTGACTCCCAAGCAGGTCCTCACAGCGCCCACCGTGAAATACGACGCCGACGCCAACGCCTTCTACACTCTGATCATGACCGATCCCGACGCGCCTAGCAGACTCAATCCTAAAGCCAGGGAATGGCAACATTGGTTGGTAAGTGAAGAACAATAATCTAGTACAGGAAACTCTATATAATCTTTTGAATATTGAGCCCATCGATCCTTTTGATCCAATTTTCAAACTATTTTGGAGGCCAACATTCCGGCCGATATGTGTGAATGAGCGATTGAAAATTGGATCCAAAGAATCGATAGCTGCAGAGGTGCTATATAATTCGAGGCGTCTAATTGGTAAATGTGTGTTTAAGGTGGTGAACATCCCCGGAAACGACATCTCCAAAGGAGACACTTTGAGCCAGTACGTGGGCTCGGCCCCGCCGAAGGGGTCCGGTTTGCACAGGTACGTTTTCCTGCTGTTCAAGCAGCCGGAAAAAGTGCAATTCCACGAAACCCTGCACAACGCGAACGACGGCAATCGCGGGAAATTCAACACGAACAGCTTCGCGGCCAAGTACAATTTGGGGGCGCCCATCGCGGGGAACTTCTTCGGGGCGCAGTACGACGATACGGTGCCGGCCACTCACAAGAGATTGGGATTCTAAATTAATGGTTAATGAGCTTTGACTATTAATGGATTAATTCTTGTGTTTAATATTAATACGCTTTTTTAGCAGTATTAATCTCTTATTATGGTTAATATTATGTATTATTACTGTTTGAGCAATGGAATGACATTTCCTGTACTTACTAGAAAAATAAATATGTTGAATCAATTACTCTACTGGTTTTGCATAAAAAATTAATAAAAAAACGTAATTAAAAAAGTAGATGAATTTTTTAGTATAATAAATAAAAATAAGCGCAAAATTGATTCCTAAATTGTCAACAGGATTTTTTTTAGAAAAATACGTCCTCATTAAAAATAAATTAGGAAAATTCCGAGCAAAATGTCTCAAAAATCTTCTCATACTTCGCATCCTCTGGTGATTTGGCGAAGCGTAACCTTGGATTTTACATAATAATTGTTTTTTTTTACATTCTTATATAACAATAATTTATACTAAATTCGAAGCGCAATTGATTGAACTTTATAACCTCAAATCTATCAAATATTTTCATTTGCAGAAGTAACAAAAACTCAGATAACACAAAAGCAAAATAAAAATCTAAATCTTAGTGCAACATTTAAGTTATAATGTTGAAAAAAGCGCAGAGTGTACTTACATGCGCTAAGTACTTTCACATAAATTAGCGAGATTTAGCGAACAAACAAAATTTCTTGCAATTTTCTAAATGCGTTTCTATAAGTTTATTATCTATTCTTTCGTTCACGAGTTATTTTAATAAATGAATCATCATTATAAAATTAAAAGTAGCAGATATCTGTAGTATTTATAATTAATTAATAATGTGTACGTGAGTATAGTAAACAAATACAATTGGCTCCAAACTACAACTATCGATAACAGAAAATTCAAATTAAATTTACTATCGGAGTAGAAGTAAATTCGAAAGAAAAAAACTAAAAAGGATAATCTTTGAATAATGAAATTAGCTAGCTTAGGCCAGAAGAACATCATCAAGTTTGTTCCAGTTATTTGATAAAGTTATCCTTTCGACCTCCAGACAAAAGAAGAACAAAATAATGCTGTGTGTATTTTCGCGTAAATGAATAAACACTGATTGACCTTATGCTAACTCGCGAGTTTGCTCAAAATAACGATAATTCCAGATAAAGCTAAGATTACTTCAAAACTACATCCTAATTAAAAAGGCCGTTAAAAAGATAGAAGGTTATATGTAGACTATTTTTAGTTATAAAAAAAATGTAGTTTGTTTTGATAATTCAAACTCACGATATGTATTTTGTGAAACGATAAAGTACGCAAAATTGCAATTTAATTGGAGAAATTTTGTATCAAGTGCTCCTAATAGTTTCTTGCGAAGTCATAAGTGGATAAAAGCAGCTTAATCACAGTAGATAATATTAAACGGATAAATACTTAAATCAATACAAAAGCCATCAGTTGAGAATAAATAATTAATAAACTTAGGTACCGATAACTCGAAGCATAAGTCAAGAATTCATAGCATAATGAACATAAGTTCGATTATTTCAAAAACGACGAGATTTGGGTACAGGGAATACCCATATGGATCTAAAGAGCTCATCAGAAGAAAGTTCGTCAGAAAATTTTAAACGCCATGTAAATGGACCATGAAAATTCAGTTTAGTTTCATTTAATACTGTGTCTGGACATTACCTATACCAAATTTCATACTTCTACGTGCATTATTAACAGAGATATCATAGAAAATACATTCGACCGTTTTTCCAATAATTTTCAAAAAAAACTGAATATTTTAAAAATGCTGAATTTTTGGCACGAGGTGTTATTTTAGTTTGGTTAAAAAGGACCACAGAATTCAAAAATAAAGTCAAAAATGGTACTTTCCTTTTGAAATAATGAAGTTGACATCTACTTCCGGTATAACCGGAAATCACATTTCGTTGAAAATTTTAGAAAAACGGTCAACATTGTATATACCTTACTCCTAAATTTTCAGATTCGTAACTCTTCAGGAACTCCTAAAAGTTATAATGCACGGCTACCGTGGAAAACCCTGTATAACCATAATTTCATGATTACTCTCACAGATGGCGTCGTAAATGTTACCTCTCGCTGCTATTCTCGCAGCGATAGGAGTTATAGGCGGCTGTGATATTGGAGTAAGTTAAGATCATACTTCACAGGATCATTTCTGTAGTATATCTTCACATACTCTCTACTCAACTGTAGAGTTGTCACAACCATGATGACGAGTTAGAGTTTCGTGTCTTGAGCGTGAGGCGAACATTTTATGAGACCGTTTTGGATTCGTGAAATTGTTGACGATGATCGTTCACTCGCTGATTTATCGGCGTGTTACGGACACGAAACAGTCCGAGTGGTTCTTTTTATCAATGAAAACGTAAATATTCCAATTTATCTTTATATCACACATTAGGAAGATTAGCTTATATGTATGAATACGCGTCTTTTAAGAATGTTTTGACAATAGATTGTGTACCGGAAAAAATGGACTTTATAAGGAATGATTTTTCTTTTTAAAATTAAAAATAACTATTCTTTTCCTTTCATCAACTCCATCCAGGGACACACTGTATTCAGGGTGTTAATTAATTGAGTGATTAATTACTTCAATATGTGAATATTTGGATGATTTTATGAAGAATAGTTTTCAATCAATTTACATGTCCTAGACCTCTTAACTTTCGAGCTACAGGTTGGTACAATTTTAGAAAAAAATAACTTTTCTATCATAATTTTCTTATTACTCCAGACATTAATTTTTGACCCCAAAAAATGTTTCCATGCATGGTGGGTGCCTACCAAATTTCAACAAAATATCGAAAGCAGTCTCAATGAATTTGGGAGAAAATTGTATTAGTAGACATTAGCAAATCCTAATAATAGGACAATACAGAACAAAAGACGTTGTACTAAGATTTGTACTATATCGTAGATAAAATATAAAGTATCTACTCACTTGGAGCATTGACCACTCTCGGCAAATTCGAAGCTATTACACTAACGTAGAACGCAATTTTAGTCACTCCTATGTTTTTCTAAACCACGTGTAAATGCTAGGAATGCGCATGTTGCAGCCTGCTATTTATATAATTACATTTTATGTCACGACAATACCAACACAAAGTTACCATTAGAAGCTAAAATGAATATCAATATATTTTATCAACATCATGCCATCGATTTACCATTTTCTGGAAGGCTCCTTATCGCTATGAATCATTACGAAAAAAATTAAGCGACGTGGGGAATTCTGTTTGGAGTCGCTTAAAGGCAAGGTCGACAGCCAAATTACGAGAGAACATTCGACCAAGGCTGTTCAATTCGATTTAAAAAACACCTACTGCAATCGACCAATGTAATGTCGGTGTGTTTGGCGCGTCGAACGGACGATTAAATTTTTGATAAGCGAGGCTAATCAACATCAAAATTTCGCACTGTCATCCGCCCGATCATGAGTCCTTTGTAAATTTTCGATTTATCAATTCGAGTTGCATCAATTTCGTCACAAAATTTTTCGTTGTGTGTCTCCCGCATATTTATACCTATTTCACATGGCTTAAACAATTCGAGTAGAAAGAACTATGGCAAAGAACGACGAGGATAATATATCGAATGGAAGCAGGAACGGCTACTGGACCAAATTTTCGGAGAGCAAATTGATTCAAGTGGAAAGAGAAATTCTGAATGGTAAGTGCATCTACAACAGCTTAGTTCTTTGCTATATGCATATTAGCTAATGCTATAAGTGTGGGGAATTTACGATTTTTTTACCAGATTGCGCAATTTTTCCTCATATCTTCCGAGTTGAAGTGGGTGAATAAGATAATACAATTTCTTATCTGTAAAAAATAAAATTGCCTTATTGTATAATATTTATCTCTGACACGATGAATTCCTATATTTTATTTATTCACCTGTTCCTATTGTCTTGGCAAGTTTAATTTAGCTTTTCCTAGAATTCACTTGGCACGGGAATAAATTGGTTAAGTAGAAAAATTAATAGGACAATTGCAATTTAACCAAACATACAAAATAATTATACATATCATTTTTATTGCATAGAATTGCTGCCCTTTTACTTTGCCTCAAATGAATCAATTGATAAAGTGATTTCCCTAAGAACAAACAGATTAGTTTTCCTTGATTTCAATATATTAGTACAATACAGAAGCACAAACTATACTTCATTATTATTTGTCAATGAGTCAATGCATAGTAAAATTAGTTATCTAAAACATGACAAATTTGTACACAATCTCTCTATTTAAATGAAGATTTTATGTTCTAACAATAAGCAGTCAGTTGCATCTTTCTCCTAAGTACAATGGATGATATTACTCTCGAAACTTGAGAATATTGGATGAAATTTTGGAGACTTAGAATTCAAATTTGAGACAATTTTTTCTGTTGCAGTGTTAAAAACAGTTTACAGAACATGGTTTGTGTCGATCGGTTCTGTGGTAGGCAAAGACGACAAGGTGTGGACGATCGCTTTAAACGAAAAAGCGAACAAAACTCCGGTGGTGTTGCTGCACGGATTCGCCGCTGGCCTCTGTTTTTGGATCCTGAATTTCGACGCCATTGCCAAAGATAGGCCTGTATATGCCATAGATGTACTGGGTAAGAAATTGGTTTTTTTAAAACATTATACAACATGTTTTCCTTCATTCTCTTCCTTGAAATGCAATCAGCAATCATTCATCTGAACAATCTCTTTAGGATGCGAAATACATATTACTTGTATATCAGTCGAAATTATTCATAATATCGGTTAATCCGTAGAATTGTAGAATAAATTAAATTTTTCCTTTCATAACATACGTAGATTTTGTAAACATAAAGTTTGCCGCCGGCGTTCATTCAACTGGAATCCGCTTTTCGATAGTCTCCAAACTGTTTTATTATTCTTTTTTCAACAAACCACTGCGAAATGTTTAAATATTCCACGCGAATTCAACTGAATATCATTGAGAAACGGTAAATAATAATTAATTTAAATATTACCATTAGCTTCGCTAAGGACGCAAAATTGCCAATCAAACAAGCGGTTTTTTATTAAATAATTAGGTAACATTTACTCAATTTATCATTAGTAAGTTGTTTGGTTATCTTTCACAACGATGCATCGATAAATTTAAATGCAAATTTAATTGCAAAAACTACTCAAATTAATTATTAAATGCTTCCAGGTTTCGGACGATCCTCTAGGCCGAAATTCAGCAGCAACAGCTTGGAAGCCGAACAGCAGCTGGTCAAATCGCTGGAAGCATGGAGAGTCCAGATGAACTTGGAGAAATTCGTGCTGTTGGGGCACAGCTTCGGCGGTTATTTGGCCACCAGTTACGCCATCAATTACCCGGATAGAGTGAAACATCTCATTCTCGCCGATCCGTGGGGTTTCCAAGAGAAGCCCCCCAAATTAAACGTGCCCCTGTGGTTTAAACTAGCTAGTATTGTGATATACCCTTTCACGTGGTTCAATCCGCTGGCTTCGATCAGAGCAGCTGGACCCATGGGTAAATATGAAGTGTATTTTTTAACTTGCATCGCTTTGCTTAAGGCGGATTTTTTTGTATCGTGAAATAGTATTTGGAAACAATCTATTGGCAAAGCAAGGGGAAATTACTAGTCAATACAAATGATGTACTTATTCATAAATGGTGTAATTTTAGGTCCGTGGCTTATAGGAAAAATACGAAATGATATATCAGCAAAATATAGTTCAATTATAGAAAATACCGACGTTTTTACCGAGTATATTTACCACTGCAATTCGCAGAAACCTTCGTAAGTTACCCCTTAGATGAGTTAAAATTTTGGCAAATAATAATTATTTTTTAGTGGCGAATCGGCTTTCCATTCCATGGTACAAGGACTTGCTTGGGCAAAGAACCCAATGATGCACAGGTACCACACCTTACGCCAAAACGTACCGGTTACGGTTATTTATGGCGAAAAATCGTGGATAAGAAAAACGCCAGAAGCAGAATTAAAAAATAAACGACCCAATTCTTACGTCAAAATAGAAGTAATTTTTCATTTATTTTCACTAACCATATTTCATTGAGCAAAGATACTCCTGATGGAGTATACAAACGCCTAAAACTGTTTCTAGGATATGAAGGGAAAACTAAAATGACATAAAAATTATAAAAAAGAATTCACCCCCAACAAGATGGAGCACCTTCTCACTATGCAAACGGATTTAGGCATTTTTTGATATCATGTTTTGTTTGGGAGATGTGAGTATTAAAAAATGAATAATTTTCCAGATTATTCCCAATGCAGGGCATCATATAAACGCCGATCAGCCACAATTATTCAACAACACGGTAAAAGGAATTTGCGAAGTGACTGATGATCGGGAATTCCAAGATTTCGACGGCAAAAATCCAAAATACACTGATTGGGACAAACGAATAGAGGACTATTTAGACGAAGACGATTTTAGCGGAATGCAAATTATTAACACCAGACTTTAGAGAGCAATGAGTTTACATTTACTACCCGACGAGCACTAGTTACCTATTGTGCAGCTGAACGAAACCTATCCATTTACCAATTTCAAATCACCGATAAATATGTGCACGAATTGTATTGCAAAAACACCTGTCGAATGAATCCATCAAATATCACAGTTGAATGTTAAAAAATTGTGTTAATTCCCTAAATGTGTAAACCAGTAAACTTTCAAATTGATTGGGAAATTTTTCATTTGATTCGTACCAAAGACAACTGTTTTCTTGTTTGTGGAAATCTACCAACAAAATTAGCGCAAAGTAAAAATTTGTAGGCCAGTATTGACAATTCAAAGGTTTTTAAAATCAGTTTGAGAGGATCTCTTGTCGAAACTAAAATGTGATATTGTAAATTATGAAGTTAAACTTTCAGTACCTATCATTGTTTCCATCGTTTGATTATAATTCATGTTGTAAATACACGTCCTTTAACATTATTGTCTTATTTTAAGTTAAAAAATGTGTTCCAGTAGTGCCATATTAACTGGAATTAATTGTTTTAATTTTGAGCCAGCCCTTTGATAAGTAGCTTCCTTTGACAAGCCTGCTTCGGATTGTTAAAAATGTACCTGCAACTTATCAACAGTTATTTCTAATTAAGCAATAAAATCTTGAAATTAGAAAAATATTTATTTAACATTGTACTGCGTCACAGCCCTTCCTTCACTACCGACTTAACTAAAAAAATACTTAAGAGAAAAAAATAGAAAATACAGCATTTACTATTAATAAAAAAAAGCCTACCACTAAACCACAATTTAAGTAAATACGATAAAAAACGAAGAAATAAACTCGATACAAAAAAAAATATATAAATAAAAAAAATTTACTTAATAGTAGCGAAACCGTTATTGTTTGCTGTCACTCTCCGGCTCGTCCGATTCCTCAACATATTGCACATTCGAATCATCGCTGTTAATAAGAGAATCGACGCTCTGGCAAGCATCCAGGACGATCTGATTAAACGCCTCAGGTTTATCAGCGTATACATGGTGACCAGCCCCCGTTACCACCTAAAAATAACAAAACATTATCCCCAAAGAACAGAAGAAACATTCTACGTGGCCCTTCGATAGCACACCAGAGCCCCAAGTAAAGTGAATGAAGTAATTAAAATTGATTTACCTGTAATTTAAAGAACGATTTCATCCTTTTCTCTTTGATTATATCGCTGGCTGAATGATCGATCCATGATCGGGAGCCGTACAGTAACGTAATAGGAACCTCGGGCTTCAATTTATCTATTCTATTGACCATTGGATTTTTCGCCCAGCCGAAATCGGACATCATTGCGTGGAAAGCGCTCTCCCCGCTGAAAGGTATCATAAAAATTTAAGATTTTTACAGTTACATTCAACCTTACGATGTATCTGTTACGGGTGAAGTTAGATAAACGACTAAACCAAGGTTTACCCGGGTAAAATGCGAAAAGCGGGTAGGGCAGGTTTCTCGTGGCATAACAGGGTATTCCCTACCCTATCTTAGCTTACCCTACCAATGTTTTATGGGTATTTCGCACTTTACCCGGCTAAACCTGGGTTTCTTTGTTTATCTAGCTTTATCTGTAATGTATCCATTAAGTAGGTATTTTCCATTTGAGTTACAAACCTGGGATTTTGGCAATTACATTGGTAAATATAATCAGTTATGAGTTTTGAATCGTCCAAAGCCAAAGCGTACTTTCTTGAAATATCCGGTCTAATTCGATTTATAAACCATGGTCCTAAAAATAATCAAAAATCATATAATACGAAGAAATAGGAATCAAAAATGAAACACAAAAATAAGATATTAGAGAGATATTAGATATTTTAAGATAACACTGATAACATTGTAAATCTAAGAGGCCCAAAGGAAAATTTTCTAGTTCTAATTCAGGTGGATTTATGACATTTATTTTACCTAAAGGTCCGGCAGCCCTGATACCAGCCAAAGGATTGAAAGGCTTCATGACGTAAGCGATGGTCTTTATCCAAAGGGGCACCTCCTTGTACTCGGTAGGACGTTCCGGGAAACCCCAAGGATCGGCCAAGATCAAATGCTTGACTTGGTCCGGATAAGAGAGAGCGTACGATGCGGCCAAAAAGCCGCCCATGCTGTGCCCCAAGAGTATAAACTCCTTCAGTTTCAACTCCTTCCTCCATTCTTCCACGGCTCGGACGAGTTGTTGCTCGGCTTCCTGGCTGTTCGTGCTGAAGTTTGGCCTGCTCGATCGACCGAAGCCTTTAAACAAAATAATATGTAATTAAATTACAATGCAGAATTGGGAGATAAGAAAATTGTACACCAAACAGATAGTGACTAATCTTATAAGTGATTTGCGAATATTCAAAATTTACCTAATGACACGAATTCTAGTAAATTGAAAACTGGGTCACTTTTTTAATAATGAATGTTAGCTGAATTACCTAGAAGGTCAATGGCATAAACAGGTCTTGTGTTGGCGAAAGCGTCCAAGTTTAAGCACCACAAAGCTACACCGGCCCCCAGGCCGTGTAGGAGTACTAGTGGGGTTTTTGGGGACTCCACGTTCAAAGATATCGTCCATATTTTATCGGCTGGACCTACTACAGGGCCAATATCAACGAAGAATCCTTTATGGGGCGTTTTAACGACTGAAACAGTTGGAATAAATAAAAATGTTGCAATATTTTAGTATCAAAACTTACTGCTCAATATTCTTTTTTCCAAAGATCTTAACATACTTTCGGAATACTTATTCCATGACAACCAATTTGGGCTTACCCAGCTGTAATTTATAAAGAAAAATTAAAATTATGTAATAAAGAAATAAAAATAGGAGGATTTATTTATAGTTACCTTAATACTGTAATTACAACTGCACAATAAACGCGAGAAACTGCGTTTAGGCAAGGGATAGCAAAAAAAAGAAACAATTTATTCAATAACCTCATTTCCGTAATCTTCAACGAATTATTTCTATTGCAATAATACTTACAATGTATAAGGAACGAGAAAACTATGAAAATGTTAAAATTCACCTGTGTTGTTCATATTGTTTGGTTTCGTTTTCGTTATCGCTCACAACCAGCATTTCCTCGAATTCGAAATTTGGAAAGTTTTACAACCTTTCTTCGCGAACTACATACACCGATTGAAGTAAATGAAGTATAATGCGATAATTAGTTGAAGATTAGGACTGCTCGTGCGTGCATTAATCATACACTTTTTATTATTGTATGTATTATTTCAAATGATAAGCTCGTTTAGTATTGCGAATTATTTTAGTCCTTGAACTTCTACCTCGCAAGGTTGTTACAACATTTCTCTAAATTCTCAAAATCACAAAGGAAAACAAAATCAAAAATAAACAATATACCTACTGTCAACGTCAAATGAATACGTCAAATGTCAATTTTTGTAACACTGACCTAAATTCATTCGGCCTATCACGTATTAGTGACTAATATTTTGATTCCGTTATGACTATTTTTTATTTTATTACGCTTTAAAATGCGTAAAAAATCTAATTACATACAAATACATGAATTTTGTAACTCATATTTAATACCAAACGTTGAGAAAAAGAAGTAGAAGGTGTTGCCTAACTTTAAGGGACTGACACTAACTTGCACATTGAAAATATTTTCTACTTCTTGATCATTCTACTTCTTGTAGACTTTTGGTATTTGTCTATGTTCTTGATGGAAATCTCCAAAATTTATTATTGCTTAAATTACTAAAACAACTATAAATGAGACTAATTTTCGTTTTCATTTTATTAAACAACCAACCTTAAATATGAAGTTTAAATAAAAAAAAAGATAATATACTAACTCGCTATTCATAAATTCTTATAGTTGTAATAAAAAAATATAACTTTAATACTACATGTTAGAAGAGGCTACTTGTTTCAAAGGATTCTCTAAATACAAAGCCAGGGCCGTGGCTTTCTCTTTCAACATTCCGAAACCGACAATACTTCTGGCGTACAAACATAGAAGGAGATTGGCTACTTGTGTGATGGCTATGCGGCCCTCCTGGCACTCCATGAGCACTATTTGGGGGTGATCTTCTCTAAATACGTTTCTGCCGTTCCTTTCGTAGGCACTCCAGATGTTGCTGGCGATGGCAGCCGTTACCCTGGCATCTTTGTCTCCGTATCCGCTGTAAGCTAAGAGAGAGCCTTCTGTGGTGAGCAGCCTATAATTAATGTTAAAAATTAAACAGGCTTGAGATGAAAAATGAATATGGGGTATATTTATTGTAGTCGTATAAAGTAGGAATTAGGAAGTTAGGAACTGAATATTTCAAATATTTACATAATAGTTAGAAAAAATGTAATACCAAGAATTCCAATCATTTTAAACGGGATAACAATTAAATAAAAAATATTTGTTTTGATAGGAATGTTTACTGATGTAATAAGCTAGTAGGCGGAGGGTTTCAACTTACAATGTTGTCTCGACGCCACCCGTATTTGCTTGACTTAATACTTCGGTTAGGACTTTTGGCTTCAGCATTTTTGCGATATATCAAAAAATTGTTCTTATATTAGATGAAAAACTCGTGTTACTTTAGTTATCGACATTCATTGTTTTGATTATTACGGAATGTCAAATTCAAATGTCACAACGACAACGTCAAAGTCACCTGTCAGTTGTCGTGTCATTAATTTTTCGATGATGGCGAAATCTGTAAGTGCGGTTAATAAATTTATTGATAGATGGCAAGGTTTCGGTGATTTAAGGAGGAATCCCAGAATTTTTTACGAGTTGATTTGGGTAATATAATTTTTCTTTAATTTTAAAATCAAATGGTCTTGCCATTGAATACATTTATTCAATGGAAATTTGGTCAGTTATACTTTCCAAGGAAAACTAGATACTTTGGAAAAAATTAATATTTTACTAATATTTAGGTTCTTAAATATTTTTTCAGTTGCTCTAGTTATTTAATTTTTTCCCTTAAAGTGCTTTAAGTATAATATCTGTGGTTGGAAATTTTAAAAGTACTTTTTAAAGGTTTTTCTGAGAAGTTTTTGTATCGAAATTTTGTAAAAATCATATAATGGTAAGTGCGAACTTGTTTGCAATGTGGCCAATTCTATGAGTTGAACAAGGAAAGATTATTAAAATAACAGTAGTTAGAGTGAGAAAGTTGCAATCACAAAATATCAATCTTTTTTTTTTTATATGAGACTAGCGGAGAGTGTCTTTGTTGTACCCATATAGCCTATATTACAAACAATTTTGCATCTACGAAGGAATGAGATTTGAAATCATTCCGATATTAGAAAAAAATACTTAAAAAATATTTGAAAGCATTATTAGATCTCTTAAATAAAATTTATCCCACACCTTATTTATTGACAAAATCAAAATTTAAAAAAAGAAATTGTCATTTTCGAGGCAATCAAATCCTAACAAATTTGAAACGCTTTTGCGAATCTCCGACCCGCCAAAAGTGACGAAAAACAACTCCATGCAATTAAACCACGTCAATTTTTGTCACACAATCGTGAATACAAACAATACAAATTAAAAGACGAAACCAAAAGCAGAAAATCGAATGAGAAAAAAAAAACGCGAAACTATAAAGAAAGCGTTCATTTCTCGACGAGCGACAATCCGAATTTTCTCCCCCGATTAACGCCGGGTCGCTTTCGCGCAGTTTTCTTTTTCGCGAAAATCGCGCATGTGCCGAATTTCCGATGGCAATGTGGAAATATAGATTTTCTTCGGCGAGCGAACGAAGTGACAGACAGTCGGTGTCATGTCTAAAAGGTGTATCAACCCTTTGAAGAGGTGAGTCACCTTATTTATATATGTGTTTATAGGGAATTTTATGGAAAATGCGAATGAATTTATTGAAGTAATTAATGCTCGACCCCGACGGTGATAATGCGTGTGTACATAAATGCTAGATAAGCGCGAATTAATGTTGGTATTGTTGTGAAAACCGAAGGAAAACAAAATAAAAACCTAGTTTGGGGTTTTAAATTTTTCTAGTTTACACAATTTGGTGATTTATGTTCGTGTTAATTATGTGTAAATTTAAAAGTATTGTAGATTTTTGAATTTTTGTTTTGTTAATTGATTGAGTAAATAATTTTAAATTGTTAGAATAGGTAACGTAATACAAGAAAACAAATATACTAAATATATTTGTTTTATATAATCACTTTAATTATGCTTTATGTCCTTAAAAGTATCGCAAAAATAATTATCTTAATAGCTAGACAAACCACCTGACTTTCCATTATTTCTAAAACATTGAAATTCAAACAGGAAAAATTTGTACACAAAGAAATATTAATCTAGTTTCTACTTATAAGCATATATTATTTATAGGTATTAATCCATAAATTTCCAAATTTAAGTCTTGAACTTTTGAACCTGTAATTCTTTTGGACCTGTAATTTTTTAATCAATTCATGGATATTAGGATTTCTAACTATTAGGAAAATTTAGCAAAATTTGTTGCTTCAATCTATTTTTTTAAATTACCGTAATTTCGATGCCATCATATTCCATCCAAAATTGCATAATTTTTCATTCATTATTCCAAGACTCTATAATTTACTATTTTACTGCCCAATTTACGAATATTTTATAGTCCTCCATAAGATACTAGAAACTCTTACATCAAACATAATTTATAGCTTCGATATAAACCTATACACGTACTCTCTTTTTAAGTGTCTCAATACCCTCATCGATTTTATATCCCTTTTCTCTCATGGAATTATTCAAAACGCCCGTAATCCAAGTTTAGATATTCATGAATATGCTGTAATCTGCTCATCTGCTTCTGTTTCGAAGCTGTAAAAGTATTCAAATGATTATTCGTACATCGCATGAATTAAATTTTTAACGAACTTTGGGCCCTAATTATTCAGTAGTTTGATGAGGCGTGGACATAGGGGTCACAGACAAAACCTACTCATCAATAACGGGATTGAGAGAACCGGACCCTCATCAACTTTGTCCCTACTGTTTGATTTTAGTGCCCTATATGTGCATTTGTCGCCCGGCAGAACTTTACTGTTGAGAATTTTCTGTTGACCTGAAAAAACATTAATAAAGGATACTTTTAGGTTCAAAACCTATGTGTCCTTTGTAGCCTATTTTTGTAGGACCTTTTATAGGACTTTATTTTTATATACCTACCTACTAAACTGAAAAAACAAGGCAAATGACGTCAAAGTATCTTAAATTGTCTAAATTCTAATACTTTTGTTTAATAGTATTGAATAAATGGAAGACTCAATCATTATTGCTCGACACTGTTAAAATTTTACTATAGATATCTACTTCTGTAATTACTTTTTTAATTGTCTGTAAAAGAATGCCAAAAAGTGTCCCAAACGACTGATAGAGTTGAGTAACCTCCGTTTATATCGTATACAACATATATCACTAAATATCTTGCATATGGTTAGATTGTTTGCGGTTTCAGTTATCACTATTATCACTAATGTTAATTTGAATTGTAACTTTGGATTAACGCGGGTTAGTAGTATGTGAATAACAGACCGCGTCTCGTTATGACCAAAAATCCGTACTTTTTGTATCGAAATTTATTGATGGGGGTTTGCCTTTGAATCGTATCGAATTTCGAAAAGCTGTGATGTGAGATGTGACGCTTTGTGAATTGGAATATCTTTCTAACATACATCTATGGTTCTTATTCGAAGATGAGGTAATTTAATTATAAATACGTAACTAAATGAATTGCTGCAATTGAATTTAAATTAATTTCGAAGAGTTTAATTGCATTTTTTTGTTTATATCAAATACACGTATTGTAAGTGTACATTTTTATCACTTATTCGAACAACTAATTTTATGTGCATCATGATGTGATGCATATAATTTTATATGTATGTTTCGCATTGATTTAAATAGTAAATATTTTTATCGTTCGAGGATTTTTTACAAACAAATATTTATTAAATGTTACAAATGTAATGTCGAAATTGCTGGTAAGTTCATACAAAGCGCGCACAGAATTGTAGTAGTAGGTGGATTTTTCATTATTATACGGGCACCTGAAATGAGTACGTATTAGTTTAATGAATTACATTTGATACAGTTTATCTTAGAGCACTAAATTTTGCCCTAGTCACTTTTAATATTGCTAAATTAAAAAAATAGTTGGTATTTTAAACTTTGTATACTTTTTATACTTCGCCTTTATTAAATTTGGCTCTAAGCCCTAGGAAATGATGTATGTAGGTATAGAGGATAAGTATTTTGTTTCACCTGACATGTACGTAGGTCCTCATACAGATGTATGGTTTTTTTAAATACCTACCTACGTAGTTATCTGCGTAACTTACATGTAAACTCTCTGAAGTTACTTTAATCAGTTAATTCTCTAAAATCACAACGAAAAACTGTAGGTATTTTATTGAAAAATAACATACAACTTTAATAGTCATATTCTTTCGTAAAGTGGCCATTAATCATGATTATTTTGGATATACTACATATTTGAACTATAATTCATTACCTACATATAATTTTTGTTATATGTTATCGCATTTGAACATCGTTATCAAGCGCATTAGAAAAAAAATTAATTCAATTGTACATGTATGTGTGTATTGTCAATATGCTAAAATTAATTGCTGCTAAACCCACTCGATATTGGTTAAAATGAAACACAAACCCAGTTAACTAAAAAATGATAAAGTTTGCATAGTTCTCAGTGAAAGTTCTATTTGTTAAGTGCTTTTATTGTCCTCAGAAGGGCAGTTGTGCTTTCCAAAAGTATATACATTTTTTATCGTGTCCAAATTATACTCTTTTTTTTCTGTCGTTTGTTAATGTAGAAATTTGGGCCAAGGAGTAAGAATAAATCAAAATCAAATTATTCTTGTACAATAAAGCGTATTTCTCATAATTTATTCCAAAAGATTATGTTTTTGGTGAACGCTATACACGCTATATTCTGCTTTTTAGGTTGAATTATTGATCGTAATGCCGTTTTCGTTTGGGTTTAATTAGAAAAAAAAAAGATTATTTTTAGTTTAGACGGATAATTATATTGAATAGGTAGGACATGTTCAAAGAAATACATACATTTAATTACATTAGAATGAATAATACCTGTAATGTGGCGAAATAATCAATCTAAGGTTGATCGTATTGTATGTTTGTTTGTATGTACTTGATTAGATATTTAATATATCATTCAATACAGGAAATATACCAAATCTCAATCTCTTTCAAATCTTTGCTTAAAGCTTATTTTTTTAATTATATAGATAAATAAGAGATAATAAAAGTTGTGCAAATAGTGCTCCTGACAATTAATAAAACTGCCATATTATTATTATTTTTTTAAATTAATTAGTTGTGTTGTTTTGCCTCAATTGAACTTCCGTATATAATAAAGTGCATACGTTCAAATTCATTAAAATGCATTCTTGTTATTTAAAACTTAAAAATTATCCTTATTCTTAAAATTTTTAAAACTCATTCGAAATTATTTCCACACATTTCTTAAGCTGTTTCCAATTATTTTAATTTTTTGATAATTGTTTTTGATAATAATTTTGCGAAATATGAGGAAATTTCAGAAAATCTCTGACCCAATAAAAATTCAATAGCATCCGAAGACTGATAAATAATTATTATCTCGTCATTTTCACAAACCTCTTAAAAATATAGGTAATCATATCTTATCTTGTTCATATATGAATAAATGCTCACAAATAGCAGGAAATTTATCATTAAATCAATACCTAAGTACTTTTTTATATATGAACATCGCATCCACATTTTTAGTGCTTTCCATTGAAGAGCAAGGGCCGAAAAGTATTTATTCTCTTGTTAGATGTGTAAGGTAATTATTAAAAAATATCTTTAACCCTAAAATATTTTCACAAGTAAATGTATCAGTAATTTTACCATTTTGTATGTGCTTTTGCTTGGAAATTATTTTAACTTTTAGTTTAACGTATTGGTAAAAGGCAACATATAAACCATTAAAATATGGTGATTAGCAACACTATTAAACAATAAAAAGCTATTAATTTTGCTATAAATATATACTTACGTGTTAATTATCGCAACTTAATGTTTTATACACCCTCTTTATTAGTATGCCGGTAATCCAGCGAGAGGAATAAAGAGGGTTTAGCAATTTTGATAATTAACTTCCTGTTAAGTAAATGAATACAATTTAAAAAACAATGTATAAAAACAAACCATTCAATTTTTAAATAACATGCAAGGTTTTTAAATAGTTTGTATAGTTTGTAAGTAGTAGTATGTAAATGCAAATGAGAACTTTATCAATACTTTGTTTTTATCCATGTTACGTTATCACTTGGTATTTAGTCCTGCAACTTAATTTCAGAATTAAATTTAACAATTTTAATATTTTACCCAGCATATGCTTGGAAATGTTCCAAATTTGATTAGATATTTCGAATATTACGTACACTACAAATCAATTAACAGCCCAGCTGCTTATCTAAGAGTTTACTCGAAATATTGGGAAAAAATGACTGTAATGCTGTCGATAAAAATGCCGAAAATGATTCAGAACGTTAAATCTAATTAATATCTCGAAAATAGCGAGTGCATTAGTCGTTGCAGGAATAAATTGCAGTCGTACGAAAGCGTTTCAATGTTCAAATTCGATTTCATCCGTTTTGAAACAATCGTGTCAATTTCCATTTTACGCTATTCCACTCGACATAAATCGCACAAAACATTTTAATGAAGCTAACAAAATGGGAGCCTTCAACGAACGCTGTAACTACGATCCTTTAAAACACGGTGTAGGTAATGAAAATTTTATGTTCAAACAATTAGACGTGTTTCATGTCTAATTCTCTGGAGCTATAACCGATATTAGTTAGGTACTCGAGATGCGATGATATGATATTCGAAAATTTTAGATTTACCTATCTCAACGTAAAACACAGTCAATTTTAGATCAAAAATAATGAAAGAGTATCACGTGTGAAGATAGAAGTTAGAACTTTAACAAACGATAAAAAAAACTGTGTAATTAACACAACTTACATTTAACAGTAATACTTGAGTACTGAAATATCTTGAGATATATTGAGCACACACAAATATAATAAAAAAGTTAAAATATCACTATAGTACCTACAATCTAGCATGTATAGCTGTAGACGTAACCTGCGCAATTGTGCGCACATGTGGCATGATTGCGCATCATACTCTCAAATCGACATAATTTATCTATGCTGTAGTTGTATAGTATGCATATTTTTTGCAGGTAATGGATTATCCCTGAAAATGCCCCCGCGACTATCGGCGCGCAGGCTGTTCCTCCTATTCCTCTTTCTATTCAGCGTCTCGCTGCTGATATCCATCCACCAGCGTTTCTCCTGGATCCGCGTCCCCCTTCAGGATGACGACCTGAGCGTGGTGGACCTGCTGGTGGTCGCCAGCGAGCCCAACCGCCTGGAGGTCGCCGCCGAGGGCCAGGACGAGGCGGCGGAACCGACGGCGCGCGACCACCAGCAGGGGAAGCCGTGGTTCATGACGGGCGGCACCGAGTTTCCGGGGAACTACAAGGGGCCGCCGCGCTTGTTTCCCGACCAGGCCGACGGGGACAGGATCGTCGAGCAGCTGATGTACGTACCGGAAGATTATCAGGGTAAGAGTTGATGTATTGAAAGTTATACGCTGGGTTATTGTGATAGACTACCGTAAGATACTACTGGTTTTTTACTGGGTTTATTAGTACTTTTAGGAATTCCATAATAGTCACGAACCTGAAAAGTTAGGAGTATCTATCACTTTTGACTTCATTTTTGGATTATGTAGCTCTTTTTAACTAGACTTTGATAATAACATCATATACCAAAAATACACCATTTTTAATTTATTTAATGAAACTAAACTGAGATTTCATGGTTCATTTACAGGGCGTTTAAAATTGTCTAACTAACTTGTGCAACTTATAGTGGCCATAACTTTGTTATTTCAAATAGATAATCCTAAGCAATGGGCATTTTTAAGCCATTTCGATCCATATGAATATTTTCCCAAACACACTCGTTTTTGAAATAAACAAAAGTGTATCATAATTCTCTTCTTGAGTTATCTAGATGGCTAATCGATACCTTTACACCATAACTATGTTATAATTTAAGTCACATTTGGTTGAAAATATTTTACTATTATAAGGCAGTTTGCTCTTGGGTCGCTTTATTCAAGATTATTTAAGATTCTTTGAACATTATAATACAAACGATCTCTAGAAAATTTCTGTATTGTATTGACTAGAACAAACCCTTTGCATTAACCAAATAGTGTAAAAAAGTATGAAAATATTCTCTAGCACATTGGTATTCCCGGAAACTTCTTGAATTTTGAACTTCAGTGCGCCGTATAAAATAAATTCCTTTCGTCGAAATATCGAAATTCTATTCGGAGCGTTAACTGACAATTCGCATTTTTAAGCCTCGAAATAGACGAATTTCGCGGATTTTTCTTCGATCACGGACCGCCGGAATTTTAAATAAAAGTTTCCAGTCCGTATAACCCGGAGTAACGGATAACGGATGTAATGGAGTTTCTTTTATTTCCCCACTCGTATCGCGCGGACCGAGGAGAGCGTTTTATTTGCAAAATAAAACGTCTGGGTTTCTTCGTTTTCTTTGGTTTTTTTGGTCCGGTGCATGGAGATGCAAGCTGCAACACGCCGAGACGCTGTTTATTCCGGGTTTCTATGTAGAAATATTCAAGGCGGGAGTACAATTCGCTGCGAGCTTTGTTCGGCTTGATTTGATATTTGAATAATAAAAGAATTTAATATTGGCTGGCGGCTATTTTAAAATCCTGAGCTTTCGTACATAAGGTTAGAAATATACATAAACGAAAGAAAATAAATAAAAAGGGAGTCCAAACAAACTTCTATGGAAATTTTGTAAATAAAAAATAAAGTTACACAAAAGGATCAAAATTTCTCACCATCCAAAACCTCTAAAATTAGTGCAAATGAACAATATAAAGCGGAATTAATGTTTACCTATTTATAGTCATGTTAACATAAAGACCGAATATTTTATTGATTTTGTTAAATTCCACAAGGACGCAGAAATAAAACAATCAACATCGGTGACATCGCGTTAAGGGTGTGCAATAATTGTAAATACTCAGAAACATTAATAGGTCAACAAAGTAATTGCAGAATCGTGTCAACAGGAATAACTGCTATTTTCATCTATTTAACGTGTATAAAATAAAAATGAAGTTCAAGCACAATTTATATTTATGAAACACATTTCATTCTATTAAATTTATTCGATAAATTGGATTATAAATCTTTTTGGTCAAAATATAATTTGATTCGTTATCCTTGCCACTTCACGTTGATGGCATTAATCTCATCCGCGCAGTTTATAAATCCCCGTATTTTTCTCGTTCACATTCGACAACGAGTGATGGTCGTTCAGCCAAAATGCTAATGCAATTTGGTGTCCGTTCGTTTCAACCTGAAAATGTGACATGGCGTGCTCGATTTGGCTGCTCTTTTTCCATTAACTCTCCTTATCCCGCTGAATATTGATTAGTCGCAATATTATACATTGTCTTTTTCCATTCGATAAAACATGGTTTTCGTCCTTTGTTTGTTCTGTAAAGTGCGCCGTTTAATTTGGCGAGCAAAACGAGCCTCTCCTTTAGTGAATTGAAAACAGAGTTGACAACGTCCCAATGATTAAAACCTTTGTGTTGAGTCGAATAAACTCGGAAAATTCACCTAGTTTACTGATAAAACAATTTTAATTATGAAGTTTAGATATTGTTATTTAAAGTTATAAAGCGTATACCTACTAGTATAATATATTAAATAAATTATTGTAGATGTTTCTGTTGGTATTTTTGTATAGGATACTTTTTGTGGTATATCAAATATTCTATTAACTTTTGGTAAATTTATTGAAGCAAGGAGAATTGGAATATTGCAGTAAGAATGCTCTTTCTTGCATACGATGTAACAAATTTGTGTATATACCTTGCGTCTTTTTATAAATAAACAAAACCAATTTTGAACGTTTGCCAAATTCCATCTAAAGCTCCTAAACGCGAAATTGCCGTCGAAATTCAGATTATCCCGTATACGGGCTAAATTTATGTGTGTAACTAGGAAGTAAGCCAACCTTTCTTTGCTTGCTATACTCCGAAAGCTTACCAGAAATGGGCCATTAAAGATGTCTCTTTGATAGGATATTACGGGAATGGCTGAGGTAGATGCATTTCCGTCGCCGGAGCCGGTTTCTTAAGTAAACGATTATTCTATTGGTATATCTGCGATTATTCCGACCTATTTCCTTCAGCAGGAAAGTTTGTTTGAATTAGTAATGAAGTACAAGTTACGTGAAATGGGTGATAATTGAGTTTGGATTGAATTATAAATGAAAGGGAATAATTAAATGGATGTGTGAGGAAGTATGTTAGATGAACGTTTGAAATAGGATACCAATTAATAAAAATTCTTTGAACAACGGAAATATTTAATATTTTCATGTTTAACTTTCTTCAAGTTCTTACTTCATACTTATGGTAAAAAACCAAATTTCTCAACTTATCTCATATCTCATTTACTTTCAAAAGTTTGACCTACAATTGAGTCAAAACAAGAATTCTAATAATTTGTTTATGAAGATAAATCGTTGTTTTCCAGGATACGATACGCCAGAGAAGGTGATTCTAGCATACAACGGACTCGGCACGTGGAATCAAAAATCGGGATCGGGCTCCTTTCACGGGTGTCCAGTTAGTAGGTGTTCCTTAACAGATGACAGAAGCAAGGCGACAGATGCCGATGCTATCCTGTACAAGGATCACTTCATACATCCCGGAGTTGCTCGACCCATGAAACAGGTAAAACTTTATTGCTTGCAAGATAGCATAGAGTATGTGGCAAAATACTTGATTATTTATGAATAAAGCTCGAATATGTAAACTGCATTTTTTGTCTATTTTGCATATTTCTTTCAGAAACTCAGCAATTTTTGAGTAGAATAAAATTAGAAAAAAATGCTAACAGGTTAAACATGCCTGACAAAAAAATGGGCAAAGGGAGTAGTATCTTTTGATGCAAATTTCATAAAAACAACGAATAACAAGAGTAGATACAGTTAATATTTTATTATTGCATTATTTATATTGTGATATTTTATATTTGCATATTTTTAGCATAATTTATATGCAAAATTATTTGCATGTATAACAAGCTTTATTTATAAAATATACTTAATTTCAGATATGGATTTTATACTTTCTGGAATGTCCGTACCATACGCAAGGAGTAAAATTCGCCGATCTCATAAATTGGACTGCCACTTATCGTCGGGATAGCGATATTGTAGCTCCCTACGAGAGATGGACTTACTTCAATCCACAGGTAACAAAACATTAAGTTTCTTTGCCACAAGTTAGTGCAAACGTGCAAATCCGCAGGTTCGTCAAAAAGAGCAAAACAAAGACTACACTGCAAACAAGACGAAAAAAGTTGCTTGGTTCGTATCGAACTGCGGCGCCCGTAACGGCCGTCTAACGTATGCCAGGGAACTTGGCAAATATATTCCAGTAGACATTTACGGGACGTGCGGACCTCTTAAGGTGAGTTAGCAGAAACGCAATTACAACTTGAGTGTAAACTGTTAAGTTTAGTGTCCGAGGTCGGATAGGAAATGCTTCGATACATTAGAAAAAGACTACAAATTCTACTTGGCATTCGAGAACTCGAATTGTCGCGATTACGTCACCGAGAAGCTCTTCGTCAATGGCTTAGGACACGACGTAATTCCTATTGTGATGGGTGCCAGACCTGAAGATTACCAGAAAAGTGCACCTGAAGGTAACGCTACTCTCAATTTATAGTTACAAAACGCATACGGTTATACCAAACTCATCCAGGTTCCTACATTCACGTCGACGAGTTCGATAATCCCAAAGAACTGGCCGCCTACCTCCATAGGTTAGACAACGACAATGCCCTCTACAACTCGTACTTCAAGTGGAAAGGCACCGGTGAATTCATCAATACGTACTTCTGGTGCCGGCTGTGCGCCATGATGCACGCGCCCCTTTCGCCCAAGCACTACGAGGACGTGAACGATTGGTGGAGGGGCCCCGGAGTGTGTACACACAAGTCCTGGAGGCGCACCGATTTCGTTTAATATTGAAATTTTGGGTCTTCAAATTTTTACTGAATTTTACCGATTTTACGAAAATTCCCGTATAGGTTAACTAGCTTTAGAATTTTCAACTGACTTATTGAATCGATCGTCAAATTAATTATTGTTTTTAAAATGTGATAATTTATAAGTTCTATTGAGTAGATAGATTCAACTTTTTAAAGCGTTATTGTGTATACTACTTATTACCTGTAGGTATTTTGTTTTTATATTAAATTATTGTTTTTTAATTCATAATAAAATTATACAAGTATTTAAGAAACACATAATGGTTTTATGTTTTATCGCTTGTGATTAAAAAGTTATAGTTCATTTAGACACCCTGTAGAGTAAGAAAATAATATACAGGATGAGCCAGGAGTAGCGCAGGAAACCGCTTTATTGGCTCACACTATATATCTTCGAAAATACGTATTATATTTATGTCATAAAAGTATTTGGCTCTCTCTGTACACTACAGGATTGGCGCATGGACTATACAAAAATTTCAAAAGTATTTCCAAGTATGTTTTACTTCATAAATTTTTATTGTAATACCTACGCAATACTATATTGCAAATAAAATATACAACTAGTTAAGTTTAAAGTACTTAAAAATTTTTAGCTAAAATTTAAGTAGGTAAATGCGTGTGATTTAGGAATAAATAAATGACTGTTTAGCTTGTAAATAAGTGTAGAAGGATCTGCACAACAACAATTTAATTCGTCTTCTGGGCATCAACTAATATTAAAGTACTTAAACCATATTGTTACATGAGCACTTATTGATACATCAGAAAGTAGATAGAATGTCTTGTTTGTAATTTTTGCTTAATTTAAAATTTGTTCAATAGTTGAAAATGATTAATTTTTTCAATAATAAAATTTAATCTATTTCAACCTGTTTTAATATGAAGATGATTTAAATGTCGCTATGTCGTTTTGTGCAGATCCTTTTATTCCTGTCCAAAATCGTTGACACATTTGAAGATCTAAAATTTCATGAACATTTTAAAACTGATTGATATACCAAACCAATTAAGTTATATAATTTTTTATTGTTGTTTTTGTTGGTATTGTATATTATTGAGGATAATTTGTTATGTTTTTATTAACAAGTTGTTTTATTTACCATAATTAGTTTAATTATTAGAATTCCTAAAATTACAAAGGAAAAGTATTTACTTGGAAAAGTTTTATAAGGATGAATTAACAACCAAACCAGAACCTAACGCAAACAATGAAACAAAAATATGATAAATTAACACTATTAATAAACTGCTAATTTTCTGCTAATTTCCAAAACGTTTTCTCGCTTCAATTTTAGCACGGAAATTATAGGAGATTGATTGCCAATATATAAAACTACAATATTTACAGCGCACTTCTCAAAAAGGTACTTCCACTTGAGCATTTCTTTTTCTTCATCTGACAAATTTGAAAATTCTTTCGCCTACAATAAATGTGCTTTAAAACGCAAATTAAGTACATAAAACAATATTATTTTCTTCTAAAAACTCAGTTGCTAATTATATCAAATATCTAAAACTTACAGTACAATTTAAAGCCTGTTCAGCAGCTTGTCCGCTCAACCTGCAATTCATTAACGTCCCCGTATGATCCGAAATATTCAATCGAATATCGAAATTATATTCTAAAAGAGCAGAGTCTCCTTCGTAAACCGTGGGACACTGTGCATTTTCGCATTTCGAATTTTTAACTTCCAGTTTACACTTTGCACTAAAACATACAAGTATCTCAGTATTCAAAAATCGCTCAAATAATTATTTTATCTACCATTTTACTAGCAACACTTTGGAAAGACCGTCCAGATCAAAACTGGATATTGAAACGTATAGAGCAGCAGTGAACTGTCTCTCCATCGATGAAGAGTTAATTTTGTCCTGTACTTGCTTTACAGTCATTACATCTTGAATGTTTGCTGGGAATTTATGTTAAGTTAGGGCATAAAATTTAATTATTAAAATCAACGTACGATCGTCCAATGCGGTGACAATTTGACCGACTATATCGAATGTTTCAATTGGAGCTTCCTTGGCGTAGTTCGCCAGCATTTGGCTCTCCTTACCTTCAGGATTTTCGGTAACGATGCTACGAGCTGTTACTTTAACCGAAAACTGCCGTAAAAAATTCGACCAAACGACTTTAAGGTCCGTTATAAATAGAATTGTAACTGTCGGTACCCAGTGATCGGACCTAAAGCAGGTGAAGGGTATTATTTAAGAGCTGTAGAAAATTATTTAAAGGAAAATATTGGTGAAACGAATCTACCTCTGGATTATGTCGTTGTCCCACATTTCAATTTGGAAACTCGGACTGGTGTGATCGAAAACTTCTACAGTTCTGACGCTGAATGTTTCATTAGAGAATTTCGAATTAACAGTGCGCGTGGGCCGTATGCCCTTAACTACGACAAGGATGTTCACCAAATCTAAAATTTAGCGAATTTAAATCGTAGAGAAGCTAAACGTTTGTATTGGAGTTCACCTGTTATGTTACTGCCGTTGTTTTGAATATTCTTCAACGGAACAAAACCAGCTAGTGGTTTGGTAGGGAGCCGAAGGAGCTGTAGAAAACTCCTTAAGTTACCCTCGTGTCTAATTAAAGACGATTTTTCGTTCAGCGTTAATCTATAGGGAGATGTGACCATTGGACGGTAACTTTCACCGGGGTCGTTCAAGTCTCTAACATCAATTTGAGGGTTTATAATTTCCACTAAATAAGTAAAGAGACATTAAAATGGATCCAATTTCCTTGATTAATTTAGTAGAGAACATAAGAAGAGGTGGTTGGATGAAGTAGAGAAGTAACTAAGAAAGCTGGAGATCACAAGATGGAGGAAAAAGCAGCTAGTAGGCAAGAACGGAGAAAAGTTATTCATTTAATAAATTAATACCTACCAGCTCATATTACCTCCTCCTGATATTCTTTTTCTTGTTTAAATTATAGGTAACCTTCAATTAATTAAAGGTATGATTCGAAAATCTTTAATATAAACAATTTCAATTACAACCCGACAACGTTGTAACAAGTAACAAGCTGGCTCGTGACGTCACTGATTTTTTAGAGCGGATGAACTTTATTTAAACCATTTTTTGTTTATTAAATTAATATTATGCTCGTATAGTTACCGACATCTCCTGTGTGAAACTGATCGTTGGCTTGGAAAACGACTTCAGTGGATCCCCAGTAAGTAACGTTCGCGTAATCGCGAACCGAGTCCCTCAACGTGAAATTCCACACAGCCTTTTGCACGCCCTCATAAGAGGCCGCTGTGCTTGTAAATTTGTGCGGTTTTTGCTTGCCAATTATTATCCCGACGACCAAGATATTGCCTAAGTTCGGATTTAGGTCTTCCAATTTGGTTCTTCGCAAGCCCACGTTACCGCTCATTAATGCTAACGCCATTTTCGTTTGTTTAAACTAAAAATGGCGGAAATTGGGAAAAAGTTTTTCACGACATACTAGATTGAAATTGAAAGTGTTTTTGATTTTTATTTATGTAGTGCTCGACAATTATAACATACCTAATGGTTTTAGATTGGTATAAGTTATACCGTATACTAATGAACCTATAGCCTATACAACCTTTATTGCAAACTAAAATGAATCAACCTGTAGACTTGTAGATTTTCGTTATTACTTGTTTCAATTTTTTTGCGAATTTAAAATTTGGATTTCTACTATGATTAGTAAGTACTATTAAACAAGTAATTTAAAACAATAATTTTAAAATTAAGTAGACCTGTCCATCTCTAACAAGTTACTTTATCAAAAATTCACATTTCTGTCACTAATCACTACAGACTTCTGATAATAGCCGAATAGCCTTGTCACCTAAAGCCAAAAACATACGAAGAAGAATTCTGACAGTGTCTGTCTATTCGTCTATTGTTAATGTTTTGTGTCAATTAAGTAAACTAATTTTCGTGTTCTACGAAATTGAATAAGGTTAGAAATGTGATTTTTTAATTTTTATCCTTTCACTTTGTATATCGGTAAATCGCCGACTTCGTGGCAAATTTTATCGGGCTAATTAACCATATGAGACTGGTGTCAACATTCTGTAGGCTAGTAAGTTTACGCAGGCATGACATTTTAAGTAATTGTCAGAAGCAATTGAAGACTCCCGCAACAATCCGAACACTTTACATCGGTCATCCATTGGACCAGTGGGGTAAAAATAAGAAACACAGAAACGTTAAATTAAACCTGTATTTCGAAGCCATGGGAGACCCGGAAATGGAGGCTGTTTTAGCTCCTTTGAGAGCTAGTGTTAAAGAACAGGTGAGTTTTTAGGTTAGAACATTATTAACTTGAACCATAAGGTGATGATAAAGGTGTGATAAACGTGTAATAAATGAGTAAGTAAATAAACATCAGTGGATAAGGATTTTTTCACCCAACCGCAGATAATTTCACTTCTATTAAATTACATTTCTTTTCAGGGTGATTTAGTGCGCCAACTTAAAGCAGAAGGTGCTCCGATAATAGACGTGAAAAAGGCTGTAGTCGAGTTGAACGCTCGAAAGAAAATTCTGGAAGACAAGGAATTGAGCCTAGCCCCGAATGTCACGTTCGATCGAGCCAAGATGGAAGATCTCCTCAAGAGGAGGTTCTTCTACGACCAGAGTTTCGCCATCTACGGCGGTATCACAGGTCAATTCGACTTCGGGCCGATGGGATGCGCTTTCAAGGCGAATTTACTGCAAACCTGGAGGCAATTCTTTGTTTTGGAAGAGCAGATGTTGGAAGTGGATTGTTCCATTTTAACTCCAGAACCTGTTCTCAAGTACTTTATTTATTCTACGACCAATGGGTTATTGTTAATAAACGATATGTTGTAGGGCTTCAGGTCACGTCGACAGATTTGCTGATCTTATGGTGAAAGATACAAAAACCGGTGAATGCTTCAGATTGGATCATCTGATAAAGGCGCATTTGGAGAAAGTTGCTGCTGATAAAAAGGCTTCACAGGCCACAAAGGATGAATGTGTCGATATCGTTATTAAGGTTCGAAAATATTCTCAATAGAATACACTTATAGTAAAATAGCTCGTTAAAAAATATGTTTTTACTTCTAAAGTTTCTATTTCTGTTTCAATTATTCTCTTTGCAGATAGCAAAAAAAATATAAGAACTTCTACTAAAATTAACAGTTGCTGCATTACTCTAATATTGAATTGATTATTTTTTAGTTGGATGGTATGAATAAAGCAGAAATGGCGGCAGTCATGCAAAAATATAATATGAAAAGTCCACTTACTGGTAACGATTTAACCGAGCCCATTGAATTTAATCTCATGTTTGCTACACAAATAGGACCCTCTGGACTTATCAAGGGGTACGTTATCGATAACAATGTATACTTGTGTAGATTTTAATCATTTATTTTTTAGATTTTTGAGGCCCGAAACTGCACAGGGTATTTTTGTAAACTTCAAACGCCTGTTAGAGTTTAATCAAGGAAAATTACCTTTTGCTGCCGCTCAAATAGGTGCGTAAATATAATATTTCTCCTATTTTTCTTCTAATCAATCTTCATCTACCTTCTAGGTAATGCATTTAGGAACGAAATCTCACCAAGGTCTGGTCTCATAAGAGTTAGGGAGTTCACCATGGCGGAAATCGAACACTTTTGCGATCCGAACGATAAAAGACATCCTAAATTTGAGAATGTTAAAGACGTCAAGCTTCTGCTGTACTCCGCCTGTAATCAAATGGACGGAAAACCAGCAGAGAGGAAAACTATTGGCGAAGCAGTACAGAACGTAAATTAAAGCTAATACCAAGTCATACTTTATGAGTAACATTTAATACATTCTAGGGATTGGTTGCCAACGAAACTCTTGGATACTTCATGGCGAGGATTCAACAATTTTTGGTTAAATGCGGCATTGATCCCGCTCGTTTGCGATTTAGGCAACACATGGCTAACGAAATGGCCCATTATGCTTGCGATTGTTGGGATGCAGAATGCTTAACTAGCTATGTTAGTAATTATTAATTACAAATACAGGCTGAGACAGAGCTTAAGAGACTTCTAATACTCGCCTACTGCTGAGTTATAAGTTATATTGGTCCGCGTTCCTGAAATAGCGCTCTAAAGAGTCTACACAACTTCACAGTTGTACATTTTTTTAGAGTAACTGTGTACCTTGTTTACGCTAATTAAGCTATGTCTCAACCTTATGGATCCTTCCTGTATTTGCATAAACTAATTATTGTTTTTATGAAGGGATGGATCGAGTGCGTGGGTTGTGCTGATCGTTCGGCTTTCGATCTCACCCAGCACACTAACGCCACTGGCGTAAGGCTGGCTGCTGAGAAAAAACTCGCCGAACCGAAAGTATTAGACGTCGTCGAAGCTCAGCCGAATAAAGGTTTGCTAGGAAAGACGTTCAAAAAAGACGCTAAAGCTATCACGGAATCGTTAGCTAAGCTGAAGATCGACGAAGTGGAAGAATTGGAGAAGAAACTGGAAAGCCAGGGGTGCGTGTTGCTTACTAATTGTTTATTTTTTTTTCATAACGTTGATGTGGTTTTTGCAGTGCATACGATTTATCAGTGGGGGATAAAACATTTAATCTCAGTAAGGATATGGTTGAAGTTAAAAAGTATAAGAAAACGGAGCATGTTGAAGAGATTATTCCCAGTGTAATTGAACCGTCATTTGGTAAGTGCTTATTCAGTTAGTAATTTTTAAACCCTGCTGATTCTACTTGTCCAAAAATGTACTTATACTTATATTATAGTCACTGATTATTAAAATTTTTATAGGTGTTGGAAGAGTTATGTACTCAATCTTCGAACATAACTTCAAGCAACGAGAAAACGACGAGCAACGCACTTACATTTCCTTGCCTGCCATTGTAGCTCCGCTAAAGTGCAGTGTACTACCTCTTAGCTCGAATCAAGAATTTGTACCGTTCATCAAGAAGATTTGTAAGTACACGTTCATTTATTAGATTTGCGTTAATTGTCGTTTTTGTTGCAGCTTCCGAATTGACTAAAGTTGATGTGTCGCACAAAGTGGACGATAGTTCGGGTTCCATTGGCAAGAGATACGCTAGAACGGATGAAATTGCCATACCGTATGGAATTACTATCGATTTCGATACGTTCAAAGAACCTAACAGCGTAACGCTGAGGGAAAGGGATTCAATGGGACAAGTTAGAATTCCTGTAAATATAAGAATATGTCTTTATGTTGTAATAGTTGTTAATGTGATTAATTTTCAGGTTGATGATATAGCAAAAGTGGTGCACGATTTGGCCTACAGTAAGCAATCGTGGGGCGAAATAGAAAGCAAATATCCGAAATTTGAGCAACAAGAATCTAAGGAAATTAACGGTTAATTGTTACCAGCACTAACTACTAAACGATTCGCATATACAGAAAATCAAGTTTGAAAATAAATGGTTAATTTAGTCGACAATAAGTTTTATTGAAAAAAAAAAGAGCCTTTGAGAAGTTTGTATTTTTATTACATTCAATTAAAAATATCTTAAAATTACATAGTATTAGTTTTTAAATACTAGCGTTTAGAAACTGTAAAAATCTACACTATTTTGACGAGAGCAAAGTAAAATCGAACAAACTATTGTGAAATATATTGTCAAGAACATAAAAGAAGGGAATTGAAGTGTGTCACCTCTAAAAACTTAACTTTTATTAATATAACTTAACAATAATCATACAAAATTCCAAAAAAAAAAATGTAAACCTTAGGGAGACTACTCAAGATCGGGAATGGGTTCGTCGTCCGAATCGCCTCCTTCATCTCCTTCCAAATCGTCAAAGTTTGGTTTACCGCCCGATCCACCTAAACAAAAAATACACATTAAAATAAAAATTAATAAAACAATCAGTATACAGAACATACCTAAACCACCCATTTGCCTCATCATCTCTTCGAAATCTCCACCGCCCATACCTCCGACACCTTCATCTCCAGAATCATCCTCATCATGCCATTTATTGAAGTCGCATTTTAACCAATGGTGCTTCTTTTTGTCAGACGTTAACGCCGGCCAGTAGGGCTCATCTTGATTCGCTTTGGCTATTAATAATTCGATACACCTATCGAATAAAACAAACATTTATGTACAAACAGTAAGTAAATAATCCAGAATAAACAAGGTGAAGTAATGAAGCATAAAGCTCCCCAAATAGCTCAAGAAAGGACTTCGAAATGTGACTATTAAGATAATGATCCGTCAAATTGTTCATCTACATTTCAAACTAGCTAATGTAATGAACCCAGTGCAAAATTGTGTTAAAATATGTAAGAATTACGTAATGCAATTATTACAATCTCATTACTTCACCTTGTAAAATTAATCATGTTAAACCAAAGGTTGCTTTAACGAAACCATCCGTTAACAAACCAGTCGACGTACCTTCCTCGATTGAAGCTTCTACTAGACACTGGGTCTATTTCTTTATAAAGAGGGATGGTGACTTCGTAATTTTTGTTCTCTACGCCTCCGGTTCCTTTGAAATATACCGAGTCTTTGTTGAATCTAGAGCAAAATGCGGCGTTAAGGGAGATGTAATTACAGTAAATTTAGAGTTAACTTACTTAATTTCTGGGTCTTTAACATCTTCTAAATTTATCGTTAAAAAGACTACTGAAGATCGTTGGGCCCACATTACTGGAGGTGGTAAACTGCAAAAGTGAGGTTAGCTTCATATTTATCCAATCTCAGATATATAAATTAAATTTAATTCGATACCAGCAGAAGAAAACTCAATAAATTTATTACACAACGATATTGTACTAAAAGAACAAACGAATGGAATTTTCTAGAATCGATTACAAGATTCCTAAGCAACATGGCCGTTGACTCGGTAAGTTTTAACAGTAATTAACACGTCTTATAAATGCGAAACTCAAATTCCTCCGCAACGAAATGAAAGGCAATATTAAAGAGAATACTTGTGAATACTTACGGTTGTTCAGTCATTTTCTATGTATGTTATTAAACGCGGTATTTGAAATTGGAAGTCCTGCTTCCGCTAAACACATTCACCGGGTTCTCCAATAAGAATAAAGTTGTTTTTCCGCGATAAGTTTGCAGGCCTGATCGATACGCCGAATAGTCCCAAGTATTTTCGAAATGTTGCGCCAAAATGCGCCGAATTATTTTCGATCTAAAAATTATTAAATATCACTGACAAGCGTCAAAATGCGCGTTTGTTCGAAGAAATTTAATCGCACGATTTTCGCACGGGCTGCTAGATGCGAATGGTTGGTTGAAAATAAAAATGCTCTCATGGAAAATAAGTGAAAATGGCCGACGTTTCTCGTGAAGCGAAACGTGGTTTTATGTTTGCGCTTTTAGACACTAGATGGCACTTGCGGTTTCAATTAATAGTTTTCTTTATTTATCAAACGATTGACTAATCAAATTAACTACTGCTTTTATTTTAGTGTTACTATTAAAACTAAAGTTACACTTAAAACTTTTTATAAAAACAAACAATATTACAAATTATCATCGAATATTAATATAATTTTATGAAAAATCAACAGGGAATAAATGCCATTCATTATATTCTTCTTTTTGTTGGAAACAAAATGAGGCCTCTTCCTTGGTGGCTACGACACCACAAGTTTATTTCGCATAAATGTTAAGAGATGTCGCAGGATGTCAAGTAATTGGGAAATTTTAGAGTAATGTTTGAGGGTTTCCCTTCCCTGTTTTCCATTCCGAGCCATTTCCATGGTTTTATAAAAAATGCAAGTCGCCGTATAAAAAGAGGACTGTCGAAATTAAAAGTTTTTAATTGTGGTAAGGCCTGAAAAATTTCCCCTTTAGTAGGCCTTTAGTAGGAAAAATAATTTTCTTCTCGATATTCCTAAAAAGGCACCTTAAATATTTAAATTTAGATAACTTTTTTGTTCTGTCGTGGTTAATATCAAGGTTGAACAGGATATTTCGATTGATAATGACTAATCTGTCAATTATATCAGTATGATTCAAATTTACATTTCCTTTTTTTTTAATTTTCAGTTTTTAATTAGGTAATTGATTTAAAAATATTACACTTTTTACACAGGGTGTTCTTCATAACCGAGACAGAGCATGTTTTTATGATTAGGCGTTTATAAATTATAAGCTCATTAAAGGGGCTACTTTTCATTGGGTACCTGTACTAAAACACTTCTTTATTCTCAAAAGGTAAGAATTAATTTTCAAAGGAGCAATATGTAAAGTATTAAATTGTACAGGAAGTGTTTTGAAGGGGAGGAGAGTTTCCTAAAGATATACATAGGTAAAAAATAATACTCATTAAAACATTTGCCAACAATAAACATCTATTTCCTGATTTTCAACACTCAAAAACCAAACAAAATCTGTTTTTGCAACAAACCCAATTTGGTAATAAAAAATCGCCGATTATATGCGTTATTTCCGAATCAGTCAAGTGAGAAATCATAAATTATCTTCACGCACCTCGGCATTTCCTCGCCGACAACGCTATAGCACTTTTTAGCAGCACGTTTGCCCATCTTTACCCACGTATATCTACATAAAAAATAGGCAGGTAATACAAAAAAAATACGTGAAAATTCGTCAACCTTAACGAAACGCATCACACAAGTCTCGCGTTTATCCAATAGAGTTTTTTTAACAATAGCACGCGGCAGAGCGAGAATACAGTAAACAGAATCGGCGAGGGGCCACCACGTGCTAGCTAGTGCACCTCCTCGCTCAACTTTAGAAAGTGCTCGCATGTTTCGGTATCATGGATATAATGCTTGTAAGTTAGTCAAACTTTGATGCCGCTCGGTGTCCAATAAAAAAAACACGGCCAATACTCACGTCCGCTCCGGCAGCCGCTGTAAATCGAGAAAAATCGGTTAATTCGATCGAAAAAATTGTACGGACTTTTTCGTACGATGCTCTGTTAACCGTTGTCAAAGAGGTGAAAATTAGTTTCCGCGGTTATTTTTGAAATTATTCGATCGAGCGCGCTCGATTGATCCGGTTTGAAAAATCGAAAAGCGCTGTTTTGCGCGGGTATTTTGTGGATTTTATTGAGTTGAAATGTGCAATTGTGGACGTTCCGAGAAGTTTAGTTAGTGCCTCAACGAAAATGTCGATGTTCAAAGATAACAATTTGGTAAGCTGCTAGTTAGGTTATTAATTATTTATGAATTTTTTCATTCTGCAATTGATATATCTACATTTAACATTGAAATTTAGTGTATATTTAGGGTCAATTTTAAAGACCTACAACCTTCTAAGTAATATGAAATTAGTGTTTTCCTTGTAACTTATATTAAATCCTTCTTCATTTCTACAGAAATCTTATTTTACATTTTTGATTTTTCATTAATGTTCGCCTCAATTTTCAGTTACTTTGAAATTAATGTTGGGATAAGTTAAAAAGACTTAGAAATAATTATACAGGGCGAGTCAACCAAGCTACACCCTCATAAGCAATCTAAAATTAGAGTTATCCTTAGAACTTATATTTAATCCAACTTTATCTCTACAGAAATCTTTTATGTTATATTTTTCAAAAATCTTCACGAGTTATTTTGGAATTGCTGCAGTTTGCATTCATCCGTAACTAATTCAACATCCCTGTATATCTCCAGCGAATAGTATGAATAACTGTAATATTCAAAAATATTAACTCATTTAGTACAATACGTTGTGATGAAATGGCGGGATCGCCTTATTGGGAAATTCATAAAGGAACAAGTTTACCCACCCTCAGTTTGTCGTCATAGCGACCAAAAAAGAATGATTTTACACTCCTATGGCTGATTTTGTCTCATTTTATATAGCATTTTTAGACGAAAATAAACTGTATTCGGGATTTTAGAATTGACTCAAAGAAAACTTATATGTATAACTTAACTGTTATGATTAATTAACACTAATCTATTTGTTATTTATATTTTATGAATCATTCTAATATTTTCAAATTTTATAAATAATTGTGTAAACATTTTCGAGAAAATTTCAATAGGCTCTATTTGTGCTATATTTTTCCAGTTATCCCATTTTGAATAAGCATAAAGAAGTAATTGAACTATTAATTTATTTACCTATTTTTTTTTCGACAAAATCAATTTTTGATTATTATCTATTTTTGCACTAATAGGTATCAATAACAACCTTGCCTTCGGCACATACACTTGTAAATAGTATCCTGTTAAATAATTTCACTCTTAGACCTTCAGCTATTATGGATGCAAAGTAATTTGTCCTGTTTGTTTTTCGCTCTTAGTATATCTATGCAACCGTTTGTAGGAAATGTAATTACATACATATAAGTATTGCTATTTAATTATTTTTTTGACTTATGAATTACTTAAACTCGTTTTATAATCATTGCGTCCTTTATATTTTTTTAAATTTTTTTATACAAAATGTCGGCATGTTATTGAACGAGTTATTACAGCAGGATATTTGTGGTTTTAGAACAGTCATATTCGGTAAAAAAATCAAATTATGGTAATTACTTAATTATTATTTAAAACAATCATTAGGCAAATTAAAAAAAGCGCAAAAAAACTTCTAAGTATCACCATAATAACATTTTCTTTAAAATTCTTATTTCTTCAACTAATACTTTTCTAAAGCATATAAATAATAATAATTTATGACATGGAATTGACAATAATTTTCAACAGGTACTTTCACTGAGCTCTATATACCATATTTCTATACCTAATTGAATTAATTCTTGGAGACAAAAAGCATTTAAATTAAAATTAATTGCACATTTTTATTTATAATTCAATTAATATTTAGTTATTTATTTGGACTGATATGACTATATTGAGTTGAAAACAACATTCTCGATTTTCTCTATCAGCAGAATCTAATTATTTTATAAATTTATACCCATATTTGTGTCAATTTAATACGAATATAGTGCGCTTATAAACTATACATAAATTATAATTTGCTTATTTCAGTTTATCGGTAAGTATACTTTCACGTCCTCTCAAATGATTTTGTATTAAATTTTAAGTTAATTAAGTAACATTTTTAAACGTGGTAATTGTTACTATTCGTCTAAAAAATATATTTCCAATTTTTGTTGTTTCCATGACGTCGAAAAAAGTGTAAATTACCGCTAATACTTTTTATTAGTCGATAAAACTTGCGGTTTTAACAGGAATCTTCATTATCTCTGAATGGAATGATTAATACATATGCCTTATAGTATCTAATCCAATTGGTCTAATAGTCATTTCCACGATAAGCAGGGTACTTTACACGATATGTGTATGTATTTTGCGATTTTAAATATTTGTAAAATTGCTCTAATGCGAATTTCCACTCGCTAAATGATAATTTAATCCTTCCTCTCTTCCCAATATTATGGATTCCTCAAATATGCACCCGGTACTCATAATAAACGAAACAATTTTTAATTCTGCTATCTGGTACTTCATTGAAGGTAAAACCAACGACCTACAGTTATCTATTATTGAACGTATCCGCTCTTTGTGGAACATTTGGCGGAAGTTGAATTATTGTTGATAGTATATTAGTACCGATAGCTTTGTCACATATCCATATGTCCCACTGCAATATGAATAACAAACACTCGTCTTTCGCGCTTAATACATCGTTTGGGCCGGTTGGAGTATTCACCTTTAGAAAGTGGCCATCGCATTTTTATGGCTATAAAATATACGGAGTCCGGTTTTAATACAACCTTGATCCCATACTTAAAAGGTAATTTAAATGGATCTAATTATAACTTACCGTGTAGTTATACGGCCCACGCGTTCTGCCTAATGTGAAATATTCGGAAATATCGTGGTATCGAAAAAATTTCGATCTTGTATAAATTATTGGTAAGAAAATGTATAGGGAAAGGATTAGAAATTGTAGAGAGGGAGAAATATTTGTATTGATAGATATTTTATTACTTCCTTTGTTATTAAATATTAAATAATTATAATCAGATGCGAGAATGGTTGCACAATTGAAAATAGAATAAAATAATGTAACTATACATTATACTATCCATAAAACGTAGGGAAAAATGCCCATAGGTAATTATTTAATTTAGTTATGAAACTCTGTCGATCGAATACCTATTATGCTTTATTAAAAAGATAAATGTTAATTTATTCTTATTAGTTTTTATGTAACCCCGTCGTGATTAGCAGGTACTTACTATACCGCAGTTATATAACAAAACCTGGTCTATCTTTACTCAGCAAAAGATTTCTATCAATATTACCAAATATAGGTTCGTATGTATATTTAACATCGATTTTCCGATTGTTTCATGCTTACCTTAAATCGATTACATGCCTAGTTGTGAGACCGGTAGTAACTCTAAAATTCTATTTTACTTTCCTGTAGACCAGAT